GGAGGCTCTCACACCCTACCGCTTGTCAATTGCAGACCTCCCAACAAGAAGAGACATATCTCCTATTCCCAACAGGAAGAAGTCTATTCTTTTCTATGCCAGCAGGAGGAAGAAAGATTTTCTCCTTGGGTGGAAATGGCCCAGCCAATGAGACTGTCACAACTCAATCAGTAAAAAGCCACTACCCTTCAAGCTCCCAGTTTACTCCAATGGGCTTTTTGCTTAAAACAGCCCCCAAATCCTCCCCTTCTTTCCTCTACAAAACTACATTCCTCACCTTTTTTCTCCAGACATGTCTATGGTTTTGCTGTAGCCTACATGTCCTGAATTGTGATTCTCTGCTATTCCTGAATAAATCCATTTTTTTTTGCTGGTAAAATAACTGACAGTTTTATTTTTAAAGTTAACACTGCCATACTAGAACAACATAGATATAGAACCTTTCCATCATCACAAATAGTTCTAGACAACAACATTGCTCTAAAGCACAAAAAAACATGTCACTTTCATACCATCAGAAGTAGAGTTACAGCCCAAAGAGCTACAGAACTTAGTATTGTATTATCTGAGGCTTTCATTTATACATAATTTCATATTCAGCAATACTGAGCAGTATTTTGTAGTAGTTAAGTGCTAGGGCTTTAGGCCTGGATTTCAATTTTAGCTTCAACTTTTACTAAATTGTGTGGCCTTAGGCATGTTAGACTACTTTGATTCTCTGAACCTGCATTCTCATTTTTAAATAGGTGGGGACTGGAGGGATAATAGTACCTACCTCGTAGGGTTGTTGTGAAGGATTAAATGAGATAAGATCAGTATCTGACACATGTAATCGATAAATGTTATTCTTCACCTTATTAGGTCCAGAAGATGAACTTGGCTTGTTCTAGGACCTAAAATCTAGGTGATGAGTAGAAATGGCAAACAGGAAACACTTAATCATATAAGCAACAAGGGACTCAGTCTCTAATAGGGGCCTCCTTTGACTCTTGATAGAGAAACAGTAACCACCTTGTTCCTCCATAACTTGGGGCCAGAGACAAAAGCAACTTTCTCCCCTATAGATGTTTGCCTTTCAGCCTTCAAAAAGTCAAGGGTTACCTTAGCCTTTAGCCTCAAGGGACTCAGAATTAAAAGTTAACTTCCACGTTGTGTCAAAAGAAAAAGTAAAATGAAATTTAAAAATAATTAATTAAAGAAAAATAAATAAAAGTACAACACACCATCTATAAAAGAAGAAAACCCAAACAAGTCACTCAGTAGGAGAGGTACTGAGTTGTTCTTCCAACTGTTCTTGGCAATCAAATCCAATTCCTTGGTGTATTAAGGTAAAATGTTACTATATTCAATCCTGGGTGAATATTACACAAGTAGCCTGCTCTATCTCTGTAATCCACAAGATAAATATTTATTGAACACCTACTACATACAAGACACTTTCACTCTACACCAGCCATCAGCAAACTGCATCTGGTAGGCCAAATTAAGTCTAAGTGTAGTGTTTTTATCTGGGAAACAAGGTAGAATGATTTTTACATTTTTAAACTGTTGGACAACCTGCCCTCAACCACTATTATCAGACACTGAATGGCTCTAGAAACAAGCTTTCACTGCAGACTTGATAATGTTTTTTTTGATAATGTTTCTTAATTAATTCAACCTAAAATAACAAGGCAAAACAGCACTTCTTTGTGAAACTCACATTGTAGAAAAGTCATTTCAACAACTAGCACTGCTTGAACCAAAAGTAATGTCAACAAGCTTTATATTCTTCCCATGCTGTCACAAGTCAAAACAACAAAATCACAAAGAGATACCACTTCACACACACTAGAATGGCTATAATAAAAAAGATAGACATTAACAAGAGTTGGTAAAGAGATGGAGAAATTGAAACCCTCATACATTGCTGGTAGGAATGTAAAATGGTACAGCTGTTGTAGAAAAAGTTTGGCAGTTCCTCACAAAGTTAAACAGAGCTGCCATGTGGCCTAGCAATTCTACTCCTAGGTATGTACCAAGAGAAATGAAAACATAGTCTGCATAGAAACTTGCACATGAATGTTTAGAGAAGCGTTATTCATAACCAAAAGGCAGAAACCACCCAAATTCCCATCAACCGATGAACAGATAAATAAAATATTGTATAGCCATATAATGGAATACTATTCAGTTATAAAGAGGAACAAACAACTGATACATAGTAAAATTTGGATAAAGGTAAAAAACATGCTAAGTGAAAGAAGGCAGACACAAAAAACCATGTTGTATCTTTCTGTTTGCATGAAAACACAGAAATTGAAAATCCATATAAACAGAAAATATATAATTGGTTGTCTGAAGCTGGGAGTAGCAATGAAGAGTGACTGCAAATGAGCACGAGGTTTCTTTCCAGGGTGATGGAAATCTCTAAAATGAGACTGTGGTGATGGTAACATGACTCTAAAATACATCGCTAATAGGGGCACCTGGGTGGCTCAGTGGTTGAGCATCTGCCTTTGGCTCAGGGTGTGATCTTGGGGTCCTGGGATCGAGTCCCACATTGGGCTCCCCGCAAGGAGCCTACTTGTCCCTCTGCCTATGTCTCTGCCTTTCTCTCTGTTTGTCTCATGAATAAATAAAATATTTAAAATGAAATAATAAAATAAAATACATTGCTAATAATTAAACTGTACACTTTAAAAAATGTACAACACCAAAAGCATGGTTCACAAGAGAGAAAAATTATAAATCGGACCTCATCAAAATTCATAACCTTTGCACTTCCAAAGACACCGTTAAGAAAATGAAAAAGCAAGCCACAGACGAGTAGAAAATATCCACAGATCATATAGCTGGCAAGGATTTGTGGCTAAAACGTATAAACAATGCATTCAACTCAACAATAAAAAAACAATAACGATAATAACTCAGCTCAAAAATGGAAAAAATATATGAGCAGACACTTCACCAAAGAAGATACACAATTGGCTGATAAGCACACAAGTCGATGCTCATCATCATTAGTCGTTAAGGAAATGCAAATTATAATCACAACGGGTTATCATTTCACACCCATTTAGAATAGCTATAATAAAAAGACAATAACAAATGTTGGCAAGGATTTGGAGAAACAGAAATCCTCCTACATTGCTGGAGGAAAGGCAAGATAGTGCTGCCACTTTGGGAAACAGTTTTGCAGTTTCTTAAAAACTTAAAACAGAAATTTGCTACATGTTCCAGTAATCCTGCTCTTAGGTATCTACCAGTAAGAAATGAAAACATATGTCCACAGGGAGACTTGTACACAAATGTTCTTAGCATTAGTAGTGAGAGCCAACAACTAGAAACAACGTAAGAGCTAGTGAGGAGACAGAACAAGTGTGTTCTATCCGTAAAATAGAATACCATCCAGCAAGAAAAATTAATGAGCTACGGATACATGCTAAGTAGGAATGGACCTTAAAAATATCATGCTAAGTGAAAGAAGCCAGGCACAAAAGACCACATATTGTAAGATTTTATTTAGATGAAATGTCAAGAATAGGCAAATTTATAGAGATGGAAAATAGATTAGTCATTACCTGGGGACTGGGAGTGGGAACAAGGATGAACTATGGATGAAGGATCTTATTGGAGGGAGCACAAATGTTCTAAAGCTGATTATGGTGATGGCTGCACCACCCAGTAAAGTTACAAAAACATTATTTATACATTCAAAGGCAGTGAATTCTATGGTATGTAAAATACATTTCAATAAAGCTGTTAAAAATAGGAAAAGGGAAAAACTAATTAATTCTTAAAAATAGGAAAAGAACAGTAGGGGAAAGTGGATGAAGGTTACACAGTAATTCTGTGCTACCCTTTCAACTTTTCCGTAAGGCTAAAGCTATTGTGAAATTTTAAAAAATAAATAAAAATTAACATGAATATGTTTGTGGGTCAATGGCAGTATTTGGCAGCACCTATCATTGTGAAAAGACATTTACAAAGATGAAATAAATGAATTTCATTACAGATCAGCACTAACAGGCGAACATTTGACATGGTTTTTATGATGGGGAACTCTGATGGTGAGCCCCAATTAAACAAAATGTTATCCCCCTAAAAAAAGAATTACATTTCTATTATTAGTCCTGTATAACAAAAAAGGTGCTCAACTATTGTTTTATTTTGGATTTAATCAATTAACATTTGTTGAAATTTGTTTTCTCTCTTGTTATATAAGTGCCTAAAAATTATCCACAATTTTACCTTATGGCCTGCAACGCCTAAAATATTTACTATCTGGCTCTTCACAGAAAGTTTGCCAAGCCCTGTTCGACACCATAACAGGATAAATATAAACATAATCAGTCTCTTCCTTGAGTATATTCTTATCATTACCTAGTTTTGGCATAAGGCCCTCCTCAATATGCTCTATAAAGGATAGGGTTTGCATCCCTTCTGCTATGACACTATTTGGGATTTCTACAAATAGAAACACTATTAGCTTAATATTTCTATTAAGCCTCGATGTGATCGTTATTGTCATAACATTAAAGGGCCAACACCATTCCACAGTATCAAGATGACTCTCATCAAGTTGTGATGTCACCAGACCATGGACTCACCGAGGTCAATTAGATATCAAGTGGCTCCTGTGGCCTTACACCCTGCCTTTGGCATCACCCTGGCACATCACCTTACTATGGAGTCATATGCTATCACTGCTGTGACAGAATTCTGCCCTGATGCCACTCTGCCGAGATGTCAGAATAATTAGCCCCTACTTCTTTCCACTCCTTAGGCGACGGGAGGGAGGGGGAAGGTGGCCACAGACACCGCATGAACCCAGGAGGTAGTCCCCAGCTCCTACTGCTGTTCCTTCCGCCTGCCACTGCAGGTCAGGGCCCCCGTGGGACAGGACCTTCAGACTCATGTAACTCTCTTGCCAGGACCCCACACCCGTTTCTCGTGGCCGACTCAATGGCCCAACAGCGACCACCCACCCCGGTTCCATACGAAGCCGCTCCCCGTACCTGACTCCATTCTCCAGCTGTCATCCTGGGCCAATTCCACCGGGCACTTGACTACGGCGGCCGCAAGGGACCCTGGGACCTGTAGTTCCGCGCTCCTAGGGGCAGCGTCTGTGAGAACGGTAAAGGCACCTCTCCGCCCGAAACTACGCTCAAACTGCAACTCCCAGAGGCGCCCTGCGATGGGAAAGAAGCAAAGGAACAAGGAAGATCAGTGATTGGTGGAACTCTGCCGCTCTTTTGATTGGCAGTCATAGCTGGAGACGTGAGGCCGTCGCTGGTCGAGTTTCACCGAGGTTCTGGGAAAGCGAAATGGAGGGATGTGTGTCTAACCTAATGGTCTGTAACCTGGCCTATGGCGGGAAGCTGGAGGAGTTGAAAGAGAGGATTCTGGAAGATAAATCCCTGGCTACTAGAACTGACCAGGTAAAGCGACTCTGGGGCCTCCGGGCAGGCGATGGCGTCAACGAGGCCCAACGTGGCTGCCTAGCCCGGCCCAAGGGAGGCCGGTTACTTAAGGGCCAGATTCCCGCCCCCGCCTCCCCATCCTTTCCCGGGGTCACCTCAGGACTCGGAATCAGGGCGGCAGGAGCTAGTCCCGCAAACCACAAATATTTTGGGGAGGGGGAAGCGATATTTAGCTCGCTGAATTTTGAATAGTTCTAGAACTTTCACCGCGTTTCTCAGAAATGCTCAATCTTTGCGCTACCCGTAAGGGGGAAAGGTGTTGTTGTTGTTGTTGTTGTTGTTGTTTTTAATTAATTTATTTTTTTACTGGTAGTTTTATTCCATGAAACATGTGTAACTGAACGCCAGTTCTGTGCCAGGCAGTTTGCTAGGAGTTGGGGATACAATCAAGGGGAAGAAGCAGACTTTAATAAAGTAACCCCAAGTAATATGTCCGGTAACAAATTGTGGTGACTACTCTGGAGAGAAGTTCACGTGGTACTTTCAGAACGTAGAATGGCAGGCCCTGATTTAATCTCCCTTAGAAGGGCAAATGTTGTGGTCATTGAAAAAGTTTTGCAAAGGAAGAAAGGTTGGTTACATCTTGATGGAGGAGTGAGATTTTCCTGGCGGAGTGAATGGGCATTCCTGGGCAGAGGCAGAACAAAAGTGAATGGACTCTGGGAAGTGTTTCTACTCAAAGGACCCTCATGCTTTCATCCCGAGTGTTCCAGAAAGATTCACAGTGACCTCACCAATCCAACAAATATTTATAGATTTCATTCTATGTGACAAGTACCATGCTAAGCACTAGTGAGACATTGTCAGGGACTTACAAAAATCCATTTTGTGTCTTTGGGAAGAGGAGAAGTCGGTAGACCTTTTTTTTCTGGAACTTTCCTTTATTGCTCAACTTGAAAATGGCTTTACCTTTACCTAATTTACCTTCATTATGGTCTGATAATGTTTAATACTTTAAATTTAATTAAATAATGTCAAAATAAGATTTAATGTATTCTTCAAGTCAATGGCATAAAACGGAAGCTATTCAAGGTAAAGAGAGTTAAGAACCAACAATCATATGCAAATTATGGGTCTTGTAGGGATTGAAACAAGACAACTATTAAAAAACATTTGGGAGATAACTGGGGAAATCTCAATACAGATTGAGTTTTAGATGTCATAAAGGAGTTAATGTTAGTTTTGATAGGTGTAATAATGGCTTAGTGCTATGGAGGACAACATCCTTATTTAGATACTGAAATATTTACGGATGAAAAATCATGATATTTAGGATTTGTTTTTAAAAACCTTATCGAGGAAGTGAGGTGAGACAAATATGGCAAAATGGTAAATCTAGGTGAAAGGCATATGGGTTTCTATTGCAGTCCATCTGTGTTTGAAATTCTTTTGTAATAAAGTTGAAAGTACCACTTTCTTTTCCATAGAACTAAGAAGTACAGCTGTCACTGCAAAAAAGAAATTCTCTTTGAGAAACATGACTACTACAAGCTTATTATTTATTTATTTTTTTTAAACTTTTTTTTTTATGATAGTTACACAGAGAGAGAAAGAGAGGCAGAGACATAGGCAGAGGGAGAAGCAGGCTCCATGCACCGGAAGCCTGACGTGGGATTCGATCCTGGGTCTCCAGGATCGCGCCCTGGGCCAAAGGCAGGCACTAAACCACTGCGCCACCCAGGGATCCCTTATTATTTTTTTAAAGTGGTGTTGCTGTTTAATTTTGTGTGTGGTATATATTTTAAACAATTATGTAGATAATCTCAAAGAGTTTTATGAACATATCTTTCCCATAAGATTCATTCATTCTTTCCATAGCATCTAGAAATGTCAATGGCATACAGGTGTTTGTAGCTCAGCTTCACCATTTACTAGTTGTGTGACCTTGGACAAGTTGTTTACCCTGAGGAGTCTTAATTTCCTCACCTGTAATGGGCATAATGTCCACTATGTGGGATCACTGAGTTTAAATGAGATGATGACTGCAAAATTTCTAGCACAGTGCCTCCCATGAAAGAACAGCAATAATGTAACAGTAAATACCCAAAGCTCTGTTTCTGTCAAAGCAGTGAATTCAGTTTCGTGATTGACTGCTTTCAAGGCTGTATTCTGCCCAGAATTGTATTTACCAATAGATTATCCTCCATGTTAGTAAAACCTTGGTCTCTCTTAACAGTAAGTAATACAGTTTAAGATTTCCTATCTGAGGATCCAGTGCTCTCCATTTCTATTTCCAAACTATAGCTTTGCTGGCCCCAATATTAACTTTTTCTGCTTTCTTGCCTTCTATTTCTCTTCAAGAATATTGATAGTCTGTCTTCTCTGTTTCCTATGCAGGACAGCAGAACCGCATTGCATTGGGCATGCTCAGCCGGACATACAGAAATTGTTGAATTCCTGCTGCAACTTGGAGTGCCAGTGAATGATAAAGATGATGTGAGTCCTAGGCAGATTTGATAAGTGCCCAGTTATCTTTAGACTCCAGAGTGGTGTTTACCGAGGACTGAGTATTAAGCCACAAAAAAAAAACTGTAAACTTTATGACTGGGCAGTTACAGTAAGGCCTTGGTGACCTCGCACAGGTCTAGTGGGTGCATTACTTTAGAATGTTAGTTCTGCCACTCATATCTCATAATTTATTAACATGCAGATTAAGGCTGCAAGACTACAAATTCTTTATATTATGTTGGAAAGCTTTATATATATATATATATATATATATATATACATATACATATATACATATACACACACATATATACTCAGGGCCTGGATATCCTTTTGTTGTTGTCATATAGAGATTTATTATAACGGTATTGGTTATATTAAGATAAAACTTGGTGGAAGAGGGGCACCTGGGTGGCTCAGTGGTTGAGCATCTGCCTCCAGCTCAGGTTGTGATCCCGGGGTCCTGGGATGGAGTCCCGCATCAGCTTCACCACAGGGAGCCCACTTCTCCCTCTGCCTGTCTATGCCTGTGTCTCTCCTAAATAAATAAATAAAATTTAAAAAAACTTGATGAAAGAATAAGAATAGAAACGTTTTGTAAGCAACAATTCCTTTGCTCACCAAAGTACTATTTATAATAGCAAAGCAATAAAAGCAATTCAGTGTAGGAATGGTTGAATACAGTAGGTATACCCATATAATAAAATAAAATAATATGCAACCAATAAAGTTAAGAATCCAAAGAAGGAGATAGAAAATTCTCACAATAAAAGAAGTGGACATTGTGAGAAAGGCAACTCACAAAACTTTATGTCATATAATCCCAATTTGAAAACACATTAGAATTACTCTCATAGATCATTATCTCTGTGTTACAGCCTTATGGGTGGTTCCTTGTGTCTACATCTGCTTTCCCAATTTTCTGCAGTGTTTAATGAGGGGGAAAAGGAGGTTATTTTTTTTAAACCATTCACGCCCCACTTTTTGTAAACCCTACCTAGATGTTAGCATTAATCCCTATGCCTTTCACCCCTGGCTCTTATACTGCCTACCTCTTTCATAGGCAGGTTGGTCTCCTCTTCATATTGCTGCGTCTGCTGGCCGAGATGAGATTGTAAAAGCACTTCTGGGTAAAGGTGCCCAAGTGAATGCCGTCAACCAAAATGGCTGTACTCCCCTGCATTATGCAGCTTCTAAAAACAGGCACGAGGTAGGATTTTGTTCTCTGGCAGCTACTCTTGAGTTCTAATCCTGTACACGAACACAACTAGACGTCTGCATTGTTCTCCATGGTTCCAGATTGCTGTCATGTTACTGGAAGGTGGAGCTAATCCAGATGCTAAGGACCATTATGAGGCCACGGCAATGCACCGCGCAGCAGCCAAGGGTAACTTGAAGATGATTCATATCCTTCTGTACTACAAAGCATCCACAAATATCCAAGACACTGAGGGTAACACTCCTCTGTAAGTGACAAGTAGCAATCATTTGTACTCTCCTTGACAGCCCACTTGCACTAATACTTAAACATCATTTCTTTTTTATTCTGCTTATAAACATACTCCATGCTTATAACAAAAATGTGAAAGTACAGACATATAAAAATGAAAATTGCCCATGTAATTTTAATCTATTTCCTCTCCATTCTTCTGTATGCAAATGTGCGCATTAAAAATTTTTTGCAAAATTGGGATCGGATGACGTATGCAATTCCATCCTGTTCCTTTAACCTCATAGTATATTGTGAGCACTTTCCAATGTTATTAAATATTTTTAAAACTTTTTTGAATGGCTATATACAGTTCCACTTTGTGTATGTGCCAGAATTTAATTATTCCTCTTACTGTATGCTTAAGCTCTTTTGAGTTTTCCACGTGTATAAATGATGTTACATTGACCAAGTTTATACAAAAATCTTTGGCCATGTTGCTGATTATTACCTTAGTATAGACTCCTAGAAGTAGGACTGCTGAGTCAACACACACACACACACACACACACACACACACACACACACATTTTAAGACTATTGCTTTATATTGCCAGATTGCTTCCAGAGGAGTTATATTATTTACCCTCCTGACAGCAGTTTGAGAGTGCCTATTAACCCTTCACCAACACTGAAAATATCCTTTTGTTCTATCAGACATGGTATTTCAAACTTGTACTTTGCATTTTTATTAACAGCAATGTGAAACGTCTTTTAATGCCTACAACTAATTAGATTTCTTCTCTAAATTATAACCTTTTGTGTCCTTTTCTCTGCTTTCAGGGAACTAATTTATTTTCCGTGTTTTTTTCTTCAGTGTTCTCGACTTCACATACTAAAAATATTAACTTGCTGTGTTAGTCAAAACTATTTTTCTTGGTTTGTCTTTTCGCGTTCATTATTTTTTTTAAAGAACAGAAGTTTTTTTCAGCTTCTAAGTAGTCAAACCTATTAATCTTCCCTATGACTGGAAAGTCCTTTCTCAACCTGAAATTAGTTAAATATTTACTTGTATTTTATTGCAGACTTTTTTTTATTTTTTTTTTATTTTTTTTAATTTATTTATGATAGTCACAGAGAGAGAGAGAGAGGTAGAGACACAGGCAGAGGGAGAAGCAGGCTCCATGCACTGGGAGCCCGATGTGGGATTCGATCCCGGGTCTCCAGGATCGCGCCCTGGGCCAAAGGCAGGCGCCAAACCGCTGCACCACCCAGGGATCCCCAGACTTTTTTTTAAATATTACATTGGTTTTGGTTGAGAGTTACTGTTCTTCATTTAACTCAGATCCATCTGGAATTGATTTATGCCTATGACCTGAGGCTATCCTCTGCCTTGGTATTTTTTTCCTGCAAGACATGGCTACTTTTTTTTCTTCCTTAGTGAGTGGTGACTTTTTTGAACCAGAAACTTTGAGTCTCCTTTTTTGTCTAAAGAGAGATTCAGTCTTTTTTCAAGCATTGTTTTCTTAACTCTTTTTTTTTAAGATCTTTTCTTTAGGTCCAAGTGGCTCTGTTTAGAAAGACTTATGCATTCTAGCTCTTTTCTCCGCAGCAAGGAAGAAACCTAGGAGTGAAGCAGGTCGGGGTCCCAGGAAGAGCCTGGGATTTAGGGATAGCTAGATGCTGTTTACTCAATTCCAACTCAGCCATTTATCCAACTATATTAAATACTTACACTAAGTAATTTGGAAAGGTAACTTAACTTCCCGAACCTCAATTTCCTCATCTGTAATATGAAGGGAATAATTCCTTCCTCACTAGATTGTTGTGAGGCTTAAATAAAATGATGTAAAGTACCTAGTGCCTTGCCTGATAAACCCTAAGTGCCTGGCGAGGTTTCCCCCTTCGATTACTGCTCAGCCTTGTTGGCATAGGTAAAGACATCAACCTCTGTCACAATTTCAACTGTAAAGTGTCGATAATACTTCCATGTTCTCTTTTAAGGTAGATATAGGAGCAAATGAGATGAAACCTTTTAAATGGCTTTTCTAAAATTTCAACCACACAAATTGCAATCAGCAAATTATGAGTTGGGGCTTTTCTAAACTGTAGCCCTGAAGTACTGTGTATCTGGTACAAACTACTCTCCAGAAAACATGGAAGTTGTTCTTAGGCTGACATGTAGATCCCTTCTTCGACTGTGGTGTGTCCAGAACTCTGATTTATGATCTGGTACCGTAAGGCCATTCCACTGAATTTTAGCTTATGAACAGCCTTACCCATGCACATTCCTGATTAAATATTCTGATATTATACTCTCTAATAATATGCAGTTCAGACCACCTCTCAGGAAGTCCTCATCACATCAAATTGGCCAGGAGTAATCAGTCTCTATGGTCCTTCAATTTCAGACACTTAGCCTGTGATGAGGAGAGAGTGGAAGAAGCCAAACTGCTGGTGTCACAAGGAGCAAGCATTTACATTGAGAATAAAGAAGAAAAGACACCCCTGCAAGTGGCCAAAGGTGGTCTGGGTTTAATACTCAAGAGAATGGTGGAAGGTTAAGCAGCTTGGATTTATTCTTACTATATATGTTTTGTGGTTTTTCCCCAATGTTCTGGAAACTAATGTAATTGTGCACAAGCCATCATCTGTGAACGATAAAGTTTTTGCATCTTCAAAGTCTCATATAAGTGTGTTGAATATGGTTCCTGCTGAGGTATTTGTTCTGAGCTTACAACTAGCTTTCCAGGCATTGAATGACTCTTGAGATTGTCCTACTATTGTGTATTATTCCATGCCGAATTTTGGTTCATTTTGGTTAGTGGTTCCGTGGCTGCTGTGAATTGTTGGCACCCTCCCCCCTGAGGCAGAGTACCCCAGTAGCCCCAGGCCATTTGTTCTGTCCCATGTTTCTAGGTAGTTCTTGAATGTCCAGTTGAAACACATTCTAACTTGTTTCTCAAGCCCACTCAGGGGCCTATACCAAAAATTTGTGTTTCTTTCAACAGTTCGCTTGTTTTATTTTTGTTATGGGAGGAATACATACATATTTTAAAGGACCAAATTTTCAGTTGGGGGGGCATGCAAGTTTGGAATTCATAAACACTAAAATAATGAAAAATAAGAGCCTGTGTACCCATGTATCTTTTTAATGAGCTCTTTCCCTCCAAAATAAAAATGTATTGTTTTTAAAATGAAAGTTTTATCTGTATTAAGTCATCCTGTACTGGAAAGAAATATCAAACTTGTTAACATGGTATGTAACAAAAATGTATTTTGATTTGTATTTCAGAAACAAAAAATAAAATGTTGAGAGAATCTCCCAGTTTCTCTTTCTAATCAGTTAGACACCCATGTGAGCCTTGAAATCCTTCATAAATACATTTCTCAGTTTTTGCTAGCTCTGAAGTCAATAAAACTAGTGAAGCTTGAACTGCAGCTAAAATCTTTAAAAATAGTAATCTTCTGAATTGCTAATTAAATGTGGAGCAAAAGAAAATAAGTGTAACCTTGATCTCAATTTAGGGAAACAATGTAAATGATTACTAGTCATAAAATCTAATGAACTCCAAGCGACTCTTCAAATTATTTGTTTAATTTGAATATCATGCTGCAAATATTGCTTGAAATAAGTGATCCTAGTGAGCCCACAAACTTGCTTTAATTGTGGGTCAGCAACTTAACGACCAGTAACTGAAATGAGTTTTGTGAACACGAACAGTGTCATTGATAATGTAAAACCTTTACATAAATAGTTGAGTGCTGAGCTTTATAAATATTAATCAGGGAAGTGTCTTCTTATGGAACTAAGTGTTTGTTTATTGAATGCAAAGGATAGAATTGACAATGGGAAATAATTTCTTTCCAGTGGTTTTTAGCAGTGAATAGAGAGTAAAGTTGTATCTAATCTAATCGGGCCTGTTAGGTCTGAAGGCATTTACTCTTCATAAACACTGATTTTATTGTCTGGGATAATTGGCTTCATGGGTGTGAAAGAAAACTGATCTCAGTTCTTTAATAAAAAACAGGTGGAACCAAGCCTCAGTTAATTTGTGGGCTATTGGCATTTTATAAATATAAAGTATATTATTATGAGGATACGAATGGCCCTGGATGTTGATCAGATTGTTATCGGTTCGTATAGGAAACCCAGTAAAGATGAAGCTGATTAAAGGTCAGCAGGTTGGGATCCCTGGGTGGCGCAGTGGTTTGACGCCTGCCTTTGGCGCGGGGCGCGATCCTGGAGACCCGGGATCGAGTCCCACGTCGGGCTCCCGGTGCATGGAGCCTGCTTCTCCCTCTGCCTGTGTCTCTGCCTCTCTCTCTGACTATCATAAATAAATAAAAATTTTAAAAAATTATTATAAAGGTCAGCAGGTTTTACAATTGCTTCCAATTAAACTCCAGAAAGATGAGAATTTCAGTTGTAAAGCTTACCTGAATATAAGATGAAAGATGTAGGTAAATAGGAAGAGTGGGGGGAAAAAGTGTAAGTATTGGAGGGAATCTACAAATTGAGGGAATTTCTGTGATATTCAGGGTAAATCAGCATTTTACTTCATAATCTTTGACTTAGCAATTTGACTGTATGACCCCTGTGTTTTGATTCCCCAGTTTCATTATACTGACTATAATGAAGTCATGACATGGCTGTGTTTGCTTTCTGTTTCCATATCCAATTATACTCTCAAACCCCCAGATCCATCTGGGTGCAAGTCTGATATGATCTGGGTGCCCTTTACTTTGGGTTCTGTGGCTCCAGCTTCACAGTTCTGGCTGCCTGAAATTGCAGAAATTTGTATGTACATTTTTCTGGGAAAAGGGTTCTGTAGCTTTCACCAGATTCTTAGAGGATCTGTGACTCCCCGAAAATGTTAAGAATCTCTCGTCAAGAGAAGAAAGAATATTGAACTCATCATCAGGGGATGTGGTTTCTACCACACTATAGTTTATAAATATTTATCATTTATCATTCTCCACTGCAAACTTTAAGAAGCCAAAAATCATCTCCATTTTATAGTTGAGAAACCCAGAGCTAGAGGAATCTAGCTTTCCTGGATCCAGCTCCATTTTCTGTCTGCCTCTAGTCAAAAATTGGACCAAATGGAAAGTACTGTGGCATTTTGATAGCAACCTGTTAGTTTTAAGCCCTTTCCTTTCCCTTCCCTTCCCCTTCTGCCAGGCCTTCTCAGCTCTAGGTGGATTGTTTTTGGTTTCCTGGAACCTTCATTAACATCTCTAAATCTTTGTCTTGTCCCTTTGAAACCAAAGCTTCAGATATAGCTATTGACTTTTTATTGATTGGTTTGAACCTTTCATAAGACCCTCTAACCTGTTTTCCAGCACAGAGATGTCATGTAATACTAAAACTTTGGGTTTGTTTCATTGAAATTAATGTGTTGCAGTTGAAAGAGCATTATACTGGGAATCAGAGAACTTGAGATCTAGTCAATTTTGTATAATTTCAGGTAGATAATTTTCTCTCTTCACTCAGGGAGTCTCCCCTGGGGATTGGGTGGGGCTAAATAGGAATGATCCAACTTTTTAAAACTTCACTTAACCTCTTCCTGGGTCCCCAACTAAGCAGATAATTCTCTGTTACCCCTACCCCCCACGCTATCATGGGCAGGAGTGAGCCATTGAGTGTGTTACTACCAGTGTCCTGCAGCTGACAAAGGTCGAATGCTATTCTCTCAAAGCTCCCTTCTAGCTTTTCTAGCTTCTCTTTCTTTTTTAAAAAATATTTTATTTACTTATTTGAGAGAATACAAGCGGAGGGAGGGGGGAGAAGGAGAAGCCGACTCCCCCACTGAGTCAGGGAGCCTGATGCAGGCCCTATCCCAGGACCCTGAGATCATGACCTGAGCCAAAGGCAGACGTTTCACCAACTGAGCCACCCAAGTGCCCTTCTTCTAGCTTTTCTTACTGAAAATTCATCAAACCTGAGTTTCACAGAGGCCAGGGTGAGAGCTGCAAATACTAACTTCCCAGCATACAGTATTGGTGGTAAAGGTCGACTGGTACTCTGAAGGACATTGGAGCTATCAATATCCATGATTTCTTAGCTATTGGTCAAGAATTGCTATGTTTTCATTGTTTTTCCTCATAAACTGCTATAATTTGGAGGCCCTCCCCCATGCAGTACAAATTCCAGCCTTCCTCGCCTGCCATCAACACACTACTGTTGATGATGTGCAAGAACATGTCACAGTGGGGCACCTGGGTGGCTCAGTGGTTGAGTGTCTGCTTTTGGCTCAGGTTTTGATCCCAGGGTCCTGGGATCGAGTCCCTCATCGGGCTCTCCACAGGGAGCCTGCTTCTCCCTCTGCCTATGTCTCTGCCTCTTTGTATCTCTCATGAATAAATAAAAAAAAATTTTTTAAAAAGAACTTGTCACAGCAAGGCTTCAAACTCCTCAGGGACAGGAGCTAGCTCTGATTCTGCTCACCATTGTAACGCCAGCCACAGTACCTGGTTTACAGTTGCCACTCAGTATCTAGTGAATGATTGAATAAACAGATGAATTTGAGGAGAATAAGGACCTACAGTCAAAACAGCTGTTCTGTTGACTTTAGCATATCCTCGTTGCTAAGTACATAAAGAGATGAGAGAAGTTCCTGAAAATCATTTTGGGTAGTGAGAAGTGAATTGTTAAGAAACCCATGGGATTTGATTGGGACCACCTACTTAAATTTTAACTCTCCGCAGCAAAATAAATCAGGTAGTACCCTCTCTGAATGAGAATTAATGCTGAAATAATTTGAAGTTTAATCAGAATGTTTGGGTAATGATGTATTCCAATACTTATTTTCTGATCCACTTTTGCTTTGTTCCCTTGATGGAAAGCTCTTTAACACGAGCCCATTGTCCTGCCCAAGTAAAATTTAGTGAAAAATTTTCTGTGATTTCATATTTTACAGAGTCTTGGATTTATCACAAATACATGGTGTATTATGGATATGCTAGTAGGACACTAAGGAGATGGAGATGAAAGTTGAACTCACCCAGAGTGCCCTTACGAGTAGGTAAAGTAGATGGTAACCCACATGGTTTGATGTGAGAAGGCTCCTTTTTCCAGAAATAGTTCCCCTTGGGATTGTTCCAGTGCCTGAAATTCCACCATTTAGACTCTTTGGGTTAAGGGCCTGTGTTCAAGGGCCTCCTTTTAAAAGGTATATTCGGGGATCCCTGGGTGCCGCAGCGGTTTAGCGCCTGCCTTTGGCCCAGGGCGCGATCCTGGAGACCCGGGATTGAATCCCACGTCGGGCTCTCGGTGCATGGAGCCTGCTTCTCCCTCTGCCTGTGTCTCTGCCCCTCTCTCTCTGTGTGTGTGACTATCATGAATAAATTAAAAAAAAATAAAAGGTAAATGCTCAAAAGAGAGCTAACCCATTATCAATCCAAATGACATCACTGGATGATAAAAGATCCAGACAGACAAAAACAGGTTACAGAAAAGATGCTTTTTAAAATGGGGTCAAGGGATCCCTGGGTGGCACAGCGGTTTGGCGCCTGCCTTTGGCCCAGGGCGCGATCCTGGAGACCCGGGATCGAATCCCACATCGGGCTCCCGGTGCATGGTGCCTGCTTCTCCCTCTGCCTGTGACTCTGCTTCTCTCTCTGTGTGTGTGTGTGTGTGACTATCATAAATAAATAAAAATTTTAAAAAATGGGGTCAAAGGGGGTGTCTGGCAGCTCAGTCGATTGAGTATCCAACTCTTGATTTCAGCTCAGGGTCCTGAGATGGAGGCCCATCTGCACTTGAAGATTCTCTCCCTTTGCCCTTCCCCCACTCATGCTCGCATTCACTCTCTCACTTTCTCTCTGTTAAATAAAAGCTGTAAAAAATTAAAAAATAAAGTGGAGCCAAGGGTAGAGGTAGGTCCTGAGCCATGAATTCTGCCTGAAGGATGCAGAGCTGAGTGGGCCACTGAGCTAGTAGATGCATGAGAATCCTGGGTGTTTGGAAAATAAGACACCAGATGGCCAGGAAGAGCACTCAAAGGAGAGATCCAAAGATAACTACTTCAGGTTGACCTCACCTACTCCCCTTGCCTAGCTAAGGTTTCTGCACGGGCAACATGTACACTATATTTTTAAATCTGGATTTTTCGGGAACCCTGGGTGGCGCAGCGGTTTAGCGCCTGCCTTTGGCCCAGGGCGCGATCCTGGAGACCCGGGATCGAATCCCACATTGGGCTCCCAGTGCATGGAGCCTGCTTCTCCTCTGCCTGTGTCTCTGCCTCTCTCTCTCTCTCTCTGTGACTACCATAAATAATAAAAATTAAAAAAAAAAAAATAAATCTGGATTTTTCTCTCCATTCCTGTTGATTTTAGCCCAGCTTCAGGCTATTGAGATCATTTTTGAGTTGTACAACATAGTAATCATTCTCCCCAGGAGGAGGGCATCCACAGATTTGTTAAGTGTGCCTTTCGTGTTTTTATCTAAGTCACTAGTTCTTAATCTTGGATTCAGGGAGTCTGTAATTTACCTAAAACTGTACATGACACTTTGTGTACATAACCGTTTTTCTGTGGAGAGGGGTCCAGAGTTTTCAGCAGATTTTCTTTTTTTTTCCAGCAGATTTTTGAGGTGATCCATGTCCTTTAATCCAACTATATTCATCAGTTTTTTGAACAGTGTTACTAAGGACAGAGCTCTGTAAGATCACCAAGAGTGACTTCCTTCCTGCTCAGCACTGATCCATCAGTTTCTTTTCTTGCGATTTGCCTCATTATAAAAGTGGAAGAGAAAAGTGAACTCCAGCTACTTTGATGGTCTGGTACCATCTGGTGTTTAGTTTTTAATCTTTAAATATTAGATCATTCTCAAAACCTTCATCATTTTGCCTACTGGACCCATCAGACACTATGTATCATTATATTAATGTGAATGGCATTATAGATGCTTCAAAAATCCCTATGATTGGCTGAAAATTGACACATTGAAGTAAGTATCCAAGTAAAAGCTTGTTATTTCTCTCCATGGCTCTGGACGAATGTAAATGTTAAGTTGCAATCTACCTTAAAACCAACAAAGACTCTACTTCAATTAGTGTATAGGTACATTTTCTATATAAAGGGCCTCACAGCTTAAGAAAATCCTCTACGTGAAAATCTGGATGTGATAAATTAGAGATTCATTACTTCATTTAAAAAGGATTCACGTTGGAAAGAAGTCAGACACAAAACAAGTCCAGACTATATGATCACATTTATACAAAGGTCAAGAAAAGGCAAAGCTAATCTCTAAAGATGGAAAGCAAATCAGTGGTTGCCTAGGTCCAGGGTGATGGTGGGATTACACGAAGGCATAGGAAACACTTTGGATTGACAGAGATGCTCTCTTTAAATTGTGGTGGTTTCATGGGTATATACATCTGACAAAACTCATCAAATTTTACACTTGAAATGGGTATTCTTTATTGTACATAAAGTATATGTCAATAACATTAATAAAAGATTTACCTTAGGATCATTAAAATGAGATTTTATTGAGTGTTATTTATGGAACTTCAAAATAAGATTTAAAATCTGATTACACGGAGTCTTGAGCATCACCTCCCACACTGGCACCCGAAGATCCAGGAGCTTCAGTCCACAACTAGGGTTTCAATGGATTCACCAAAGCAGCTGCACCCAGCCTGGGCCCCGGGATCATCTCAGATGTTTCCTGAAGAGCACTCTCAGGAAGGTTCAGCTGTTCAAACCATGTCCGAAGTGTTAGTAAAGAACCTTAGCAAACTGACTCTCGACCCTAGTATCAAACTCCCTTCCCTCTACCAGAATATCCACCCCAGCAGCAGGAGAGAGAGAAGAAACCACAGGGGCTTGTTGACCGCATCCTCAGCAACAACAGGAAGAGGAGTGGAGTGAGGACTCTGTTAACTGCTAGGAAAGAAAGGATGGAGAGGATGATTCGATTGATTCAGTACCAGCGCTACCTTAACAAGCGGTCCATGCTTCAAAAGGATCTACCAGAGCAGGGAATTGAGGGTGAATCCAGAGTGGAAAGATTTAGATGTACCTGTCATTATTGCCTGTATCATAAAGATGTTTCTGAGGATACCAGCATGGAGAATAATGACACGGAGCCAATGTAAACATAAACTTGTACTATTTCCTCTGATTAGTAATTCTAGGATCGTTATGCAGCAGCTCGGGAAAGCTGTTCTATGTTAAGACAAGTTGTAATATTTTAATAATCTATGATATAAACTGTCTTGTATCTATTCCAGTTTGATATTAGTTTGTGAGGAATCCTGTAGTTTTCATTTGAATGACTTCAGTTCCTGTAGTTTGCATTTGAATGGTGTCAGTTTATGTCCACTTTTCAGTTTGACCTAAGGAAGCACTACTAGGTTGAGTGTGCCTAAGTGTTTGAGAAGCCTAAAGTCATTAAGATAAAACCTAACATCAAAAAATCGGAAGCCAAGTAACTTGTGCAGAAGGAATACACAGAAAACTTGGGGTGGTTTGGTTAGAGTATAATTAGGGGAGGGTGTGCATAAGGTAGATTTTTCTGGTTTTCAGAAATCGTAATTTTTTGATGTGCTATTTCAATTTTTAGTAGCAAATGTGTATGAAGAGGATCTTATTAAAATTGAGACTTATTTGAAAAAAAAATCTGATTACACAAATGAAAAAGTCTACCTTTAAATTTCTTCAAGGTGGTATATGGGTAAAATATCAATGGAGAACACATTTTGGCAGGTGAAAAAGAGGTAATATCAATGCATGTTAGGTTAATATTTAGCACTTACATGGTTATCTATTACTGTGGAATATCCCAACAGTGAAACAGATTAAATAATTTGTTCAGATTATCTAAAATAGATCTTAAGTGTTCATTTAGAACAGTTTCATAATCTGGCCCTTCTTAAGTAAGGTAGCATCAGATATAGTGATAACATAGTATCTCATTAAAAGGTAAATTGTACATCACCTATGGTATCAACATTTTTTAGTCACCGAAGGAAAATGTTATCTGGAACTGTTTGCCTGTAGATTATCTTGCATTTGAAAACTAGGCTATTTAAATTTTTTGGCTATGCTCAAGATACTGTATAGCAGAGTGGTTCCTTGGGAGATCTAATATGATAAATGAAGCACTGATTTTAAGACCTAGATTTAAATGCTACCTACCAATTAATATGTACCCTTTACATATTCTCCTCTGCAATTTTTGAGGATTCCCCCTGCCCCCAATCTACAAGAGAATGCTAGCAAATTCTTGTCTTCATGGCCAGTGTCAAAATGAATAGGGAAGCCCTGACAGCTCATCCTAGGAATAATATCGAATCCAATTAATGCCACCTTGTCATGTGTGCATGTGGAACAGAATAAAGATGAGCTGAAAATAGAGAAGATTTTCTGAAGTACAGTGTAGATGTTGCTGCAAAACAAAACACTTTCATCTGAACTAGAAATCACTCACTTTGTCATCGGTTAGGCTTACATGTTAGTAAAAGTGTAAGTCATGCAGGAACCCTTGTATTTATCTTGACCTATTTGTTTGGGATTGATGGTAGGGGCACCTTGTTAGAAAAGCGTTAGTCAGAACAGAGGGAGGGGGTGGGAGACTAGTTAGGGCAGCTGAATTCCAAATACCAGTAATAAGTTCCTTAGCGATGAACACTGTACTTAGGCTACAGCCTATGGCTTACTCACTCCCTATCCTTCTCACACAAGGGCTCCACTATAATCCCAGGCTCAGGCTCAGACTCAGGCTCCAGCTCCGGCTCCGGATCTGGGTCTGGCTTCAGCTCTGGCTCCAGCTTTATCTCAAGCTCCAGACCTGGGACAGGCTGCGGCCCAGGGGCAGGCTGCGGGGTAGGCTCCTGGACAGCCTCTGGCTCCGGGATAGGATGATGATCTGGCCCTAGGATGGCATCGGGGTCATCCTCATGGCCAGAAGGTGGCAAGGTAGCTTCTAGCTGGATCACGTGTTCATCTGGCATTGCCTCAAACTCTGTACTTTGGTTTACCTTTGTCATTGGTCTGCAGGAAGAAGGCCCAGGAAAGAACGAGTTAGGGTTCGGCATTTCATGCAACCATGTGTTCCAATCTGTTCAAGGCTTATGGGATTTCTGATATTCTGACTCACTGTCGGACCACACATTCATCTTGTCTCCTAACCAGACAGGTTAGGTCTCAACAAGAGAATGAGAGTCCCAAGAGAGAAAAACTAGTATACCCACGGTGGTTAAATGAGTTGATAGACATAAGGTGCTTAGAGCAGAGTCTGGCACACAGCCATCAGGAACTGGTAGCTGCTGCCACCTGCTTTTATATAAGCAGTGAGTGGGAACAGAAAGACGACCTCTGATAGGTTAGGCTAAAAGGGTTGCTGAGGAAGAGCTGCCTGATAGAGATAACACCCTGACAAATGTCAACATTCAAACAAAGAAGATCTTACTCGAGTTCTGTGGTAGTCTTTGAATTTCGCTTCCTTTCTTTCCCCTTTGCCTTTGCTTTGTTCCTTGCAAAGCACATGACAGAGACGATGATGGCAGCACCTATGAGGGTCCCCACCAGCGCCCCAACGATGATTCCAACTTCTGGATCTTGAAGAAAGAAGCAGCAGGTTGGTAAAGTGGACTGTACTGGCTGCCTCACATGTGTGCTTTCATGACCAGGGTGGAATATCTGGAGCCTCCATATACTGGGAATATGACCCGTGTAGGCTAGAAACCCCCAGAACTCTGCCAGTTGAACTCACCCTGGCTCAGCTGTGTAGCTTACCCATTCACATGGATACACATAGAGAAGACCTATGCCATCTTGGGGGGGGGGCTTCCTTTCAAAATGGGGTGGAAGGAAGGGAGTCTTTGGTGGGCATCTGCCTGATCAAATGAAAGAGACACCATAAAGCTACAACCTGGTAAGCAGAGAAAGGACCACTGTTACAGGCAGGGAGGTTTCACCAGGCTTATCCAGAGCACAGGTGAAGTAGATCCCTAAAAACCTCTCCCACACATGCCATGCTCACCAAAAAGCCTCATGCATTCTGGCCATCGGAAAAGGCCATGCCCATTTCTATAAACAGGCATCTGGTTTACTAGATCAATCTATGGAAAAATTCAACAAATGTGCGATGAATCCAGCTGAGCACCAGACTTCCCACCATCCCGGAGAGACCTTGTCTGAGTTCCAGTGGGCCCATCTCCATCCGCCTCCCTTCAAATAAGGCTGGACATCTTACATTCTGCGAGGAGAGACTAGCAGAGTTGCCCCATCGTTCTTTCAACTTTTATGATTAAAGGAATCCATGTACACGATTCAGAAAGTCATACAGCTCTACTAGACTTCTAGCAAAGAAGCAGCAGTCCCTGTGCCCGCTCCCACCAACCCCTACCCCCATCACTGTGTCCCATTCACTAGAGGCAACCACTCTTAACTCTTTTTCATGAATCATCCGGTATCTGCCTCCATGTTTCTATTGTGCTTGTTTTAGTTTTCCAGTTTTTGTCATTTTTTGACAACTTCCTACCCCAGAAGATGGGGATTGTATTCTTAACTCCACCCCACTCACACATTCTCCTGATATCGCCATAGTGCAAGTTGTCATGACATCAAAGTTTACAGGATTATGGTTATGTAAATATAGTTCACAGCTGCAAGAACCTAATACATCCTATGATTCTTTTTTTAATTTTAATTTTTTTAAGTAAGCTCTACGCCCAGTGTGGAGCCCAATATGGGGTTTGAACTCACAACCTTCAGATCAAGATCTGAGCCGAGATCAAGAGTTGGACACCTAACCGACTGAGCCACCCAGGTGCTCTCACATCACGATTCTTGTACATTTAAATTTTTCTCTTTGGGTCTAATAATTGCCTCATTTGGAGATGTTTTAAAATGGATTGCCACTAACTTCCCAAATTTCCAACCAAAACTGTTAAAACTCCTTTCAGTAGATTTAAACACATCAGATAATCTATTGATTTCTTATGATTTTTTCCCCCTGAGGAAACAGCCCTCCTGGGGCCCTCCATCCTCCTTCCCCCAGCAAGACTGGTTGCCCTCCTAAGCCTGCCACCATAGTGTCACCCATCAGCTGCCTTTCACCTTCATCCCTATTTTATAGATAAAGAAACAGGCTTTGCAAGTTCGTTCAAGATCCAGCTCAAATAGCACTTTGTTGGGGCAGCTGGCCCTGGTTCTATAAGCATAATTACTTGTTTCTTCTTCAATGTCTTAGAGCCCCTGTCCAGACTGCTATTGGAGCATATAACACATTTTACTGATTGTCCCTCTGGCTAAACTGTGAGTTCCACAGATCCTTGGGTGGCTCAGTTGTTTGGTGCCTGCCTTCAGCCCAGGGTGTGATCCTGGAGTCCCAGGATCGAGTCCCGCATCAGGCTCCCTACGTGGAGCCTGCTTCTCCCTCTGCCTGCGTCTCTGCCTCTCTCTCACTCTCTCTCTCTCTCTCTTTGTGTGTGTGTGTCTCTCATGAATAAATAAATAATCTTTTAAAAAATAAAATAAACTGTGAGTTCCTTGAATGTAAGACCTAGATCTTATTAATCTCTGTGTCTGCATCACCTATGAGAGTTTCTGGCATAGAGTAGATATCCAATTAATGTTTGAAGGAGGGAGACAGGGAGGAAAGAAGGAAGGAAAGAAGGAAGGAAAAGAGGAGGGAGGGAGGAAGGAAGGAAGGAAAGAAGGAAGGAAGGAAGGAAGCCAAATGCCACCATCATTTAAAAGGAATATTTGAGTGGAAGCAGGGCTCGAGTACAACTCCTGAGTCTCTACAGGTTATACCACTTAACCACTTCTGGAAAGGCAAAACAGGATTGGGGAAGATATAGAGATATACAGCAGGAATGATCAAGGGACTAGGGGTAGAATGAAACCATAGACAAAGACCAAAAAGATGTCTCTTCACCTTTGACTCAAAATTAGGCGAATGAAGAAACAACCTGGAATTGGAAAATGCTTGATTCAGGACCACTGAAAGGACAAAAGCTTAGCTTCCTAGGAGAGGAATGGCCCAAGGGAACTGGCCACCTGGATATAGTATATATTAGTCACAGATTCAAAGTGAGTTAGAAATAATGATTAGATGACATAGATGATCCTAAGTGTTATTAAGTCATCATTCAAAGGTGTGGCAAGGGGCCCCTGGGTGACTCAGTCGGTGAAGCATCTGCCTTTGGCTCAGGTCATGATCCTGGGGTCCTGGGATCAAGTCCCACGTCAGGCTCTCTGCTTAGCGGGGGTCTGCTTCTCCCTTTTCTTCTTCTTCTTTTTTAAATTTCATTTATTTATTCATGAGAGACAGAGAGAGAGGTAGAGACATAAGGCAGAGGGAAAAGCAGGCTCTGTGCAGGGATCCCAATGTGGGACTCAATCCTGGGTCTCCAGGACCACAACCTGGGCCGAAGGCAGTGCTAAACCGCTGAGCCACCCAGGATGCCCTCTCTCTCTTCTTCTGACCAACCCCTCTGCTCATGCTCTCTCTCAAATAAAATCTTTTTTTAAATAAAGATTTTATTTATTTATTCATGAGAGACAGAGAGAGAGAGAGAGAGAGAGAGAGAGAGAGAGAGAGAGAGAGAGAGAGGCAGAGGGAGAAGCGGGCTCCATGCAGGGAGCCTGATGCAGAATTCAATACCGAGACTCCAGGATCATGCCCTGTGCGGACGGCAGGCGCTAAACCACTGGGCCACCCAGGGATCCCCCAATAAAATCTTTTTTAAAAAGTGTGGCAAGATATCCCTTGTGAGAGCTTGCCCCCACCTGGCCCAATTTGACAATTCCAGGCCCTCAAGTGTATGCTTGGTGACAAAGCACCTTTGAAATAGAATGTTGTGTTTTAAGGCTCTGCCAGTCACTCACTGGATGACCTTGGGTAAGTCACTTACCTCGCTGAGTTTCAGTTTCCTTTGCAGTAAAATGAAGCTAACAATCTGCCGTGCCTCCTAGGCAGGGTGGTTGGAGGATTGAGTGAGAGAAACTCATAGCACCTGGCCATGTGCCTGGTACATAATTTGTGCTCCACAGATATTAGCTACTGTGATTGTAGGTACAAGTGTTATTATGACCACTATTATTAGAGGCAGATCTTAACAAATTACTGAGGAACTGGAAAGTCTATGAGCTCCATGTTCAACATAGACTGCTAGTTTCCCCTGGATTCACAAAGAAAATCCAGTCTGGTACTATCAATGGGGCTGTTATTCTGCTTATGAAATAGTAAGATCTACTTTCTAGAAATGTTATGAGTGTGGAACAAAATTTTTGTAAATGATCTGTGGCAGTGTATGGCACGTAGTAAGTGTCATGTAAGCTTTAGACATTAGGATGGTAATAATTCAGCGTATCAATCTATAAATAATCCACCAAAATCTCCAGAGAGGCCAAAGGATGAAGCAGGGGATCCTAGTTAATTTGCTTGGTTGGCAGGCCCAGGACACTTGACTTAAGGAGAACATGTGTTAAAGATGGATGATCAAGGGACACTTGGGTGGCTCATGGTTGAGTGTCTGCCTTCAGTCAGGTTGTGATCCTGTGTTCTTGGGATCGAGTCCTGCACTGGGCTCCCCACAGGGAGGCTGCTTCTCCCTCTGCCTATGTCTCTGCCTCTCTCTCTCTCTCTCTCTCTCTCTCTCTCTCTCGTCTCTGTGTGTGTGTGTGTGTCTCATGAATAAATAAAAAATATTTTTTTTAAAAAAGATAGATGATCAACTCACGAGAAGAAGTCAGATCAATTTCACAGGAACTATTGCCAAGGTTGTTGATAGCTGTGCACTGGTAATAACCTTGTTCAAAACTGGTCAGATTTCCAATAACCAAAGTCCCAGTGGCTGGGTCTGTAAAACAAAACAAAACAAAACAAAACAAAAAAACAGGAAATAGACTTTTGAAACCTCTTAGGGGGCTATGGATCATGTCATCGCAGCAGAATCACTCAATGCCTGTCTGCCCACTCCCTCACATTTGCCGCCCCTTTCCTGAGCTGCCAGGGTCCAATGAGACACCACCACCCCCTGGCCCCAAGATTCTTCTAAAGGTAGCCCATCTGGGACCATGCCTCTCCCCTCCATACCCACTACCCTCTGAGCCAAAAAGAGGCTTGACCTCTAGAGGTTGGGGGTAAGACCAGACCACAGTCATCTTGTTAGGATATCTTTGTACATCTTATTCCCAGAGAAAGAAGAATAAGGAGGAGAAGGAGAAGGAGAAGGAAAAGAAAGAAAGAAAGAAAGAAAGAAAGAAAGAAGAAGAAAAGAAGAAGAAGAAGACGACGACGACTGAGCTCTAAAGATGAGCAACCAGCCAGCCACACATGTCAGACCTTGCCAGGGGCTGCAGGAGGGCTGGACTTACTGAAGTTTTCTTTCACTGGGATGATGTCTTCACCTTCAAGTTTATACCAGTAGTATACAGGGGAAGGTGTCCCAAGCAGCGAGAGGCAAGAAAGAGATATAGGATGGCCAGTTTCTGGTACTCCTTGGATGCTGCAAAAGGGCTTAGAAGGTTTCACTGTAAGGCAATGAGACAGAGTCAAAATCCTGCAGGCAGTGTTGCAACCTGTCACAATTGGCAGGTCACTTTCTACTGTCATTTTGTAGAATTCTGGGCCCTGCACTCCGTTCTGAAAGCTTTGCAAACTGCGTTTGATCATTTTTTCTGCTTGTACCACCAGATGGGAGTAGAGCACTTCAGGTTCAAGGACCTGCCAGGCACCAGGCCATTAAGATTCCATCAGCATCTCTTCTGTCTGCCTTCCTCCCCAGATTCATGACCATGAATTTCCGCATTGTGTCTTAAAATATGCCTTTATTAAAACAGCCCATATGTAAGCAAACACTAAATGACTAAAGTCAGTTTATACATTTGAAGCACAGCTTTAAGGGAAAAAATGGGACCCTTAGATCCCTTAGATACTTTGAGATAAGTTGTTACTTACTCTTTTTACATTTGTTTCATTAATGCTATATTTTCCCTTTCCTTTATGAATCATGTTTGGGCATTAACTTCTCTGGGGGTGAGTGACCTAAAATTGTTGGAGGGTCTGAAATGGTCTGTGTCCCTTGTTGGTCAGGGAAGTCCACTTTGGCAGGTGGGGGGCAGGTGGGTGCAACACGAAGCTGAAATCTTTATCCATTTTTTGCCCCACAAGCATTTACTTCTGTGCCTTCTGTGTACCTGGCACTGGATTAGGCACCAGAAATGCCCAAGTAACTCTGAAACAGTTCTGAAGTGGGGTGGGGGAGTATTGGGAGATGAGGCCAGAGAACAGCAGAGATAATAGCTGGGAGGGCATTGTATTTCATTTATTTTACACAGACAGCAGGAGGACCACGGAAGGAATTTAAGTAGGGGAAGGATGGTGTCCATTTTTAATGCTTTAGATGGTTTTCTTGCACGGTGGGGGTGCCTGAACCAAAGGAGTGGAGGGGACATGGTCAAGAGGTATCAAGGAAGTATAATCAATTGGACTTGGTGACCAAATGAATAGGGGGCATGAGGAAGAGGGTGCAGGCAGTGATGGCTCCCAAGTAACTGATGTGGACAGCTGGATACATGCCATCCAGAAATAAACACAGGAGGAGCATGTTTTCAGGGATGGGGGGTGGCGATGATATGGTCATTTGGGGATATACTGAGTTTTAGCTGTTTATGAAACATCTCCATGGAGCAGTCCTGTGGGAAACTGAGAATCTGAATTTCCTCATTCATCTTACAGCTCACAGCTTATTCTCAGTGTTACATATAGATAACCATCTGAATTTCAGTACTTACCAACTCACCTCCCTTAACTTAGGTATAAAATCCTCCGAAGACACAGGTACTCTAGCTTAGGCTAGTTATACCTTAAATGCTCTGGACTCTCCAGCCCTCCAGCTCTTACTTTAGAAACAGCAGTTAAGAGCACAGCCCTGGATCCATCCAGACTGCTGGCTCTGCAGCTTTACTTTAGATATGTTTAGGCAAGTAACCTCACATCACCAAACCTCAGTTGACTCATCTCTATAAATGTGAAAAAAGAAACTATCTGACCTCTGATGAAACCAAACACATCGACTTTATGTAAATAATATGATGTCTGTAGTGCCTTGCACATGGAATTGCTGTTGGCTGTGGGCAGGACTAATTTCTACTGCCACATTTTATAGCCTGGTACTGAAGTTAATCTTTCAGTCTTAGACTCTAACTCCCTGTACGCATGAGTGAGAAGACAAATGGAGACAGCTGTAGCTCTTTGAAACACTTTACCATCCCTATCTTTTAAACGGGTGGGTTTTTTTTTTAATGAAAATAAGTATTTTCCTCTTTATCTCTTTTCCTTACTGTTGATTTTCTCAGATGGGGACATCTCATTGATTTGCCTACCCTAAGCTAGGCTATTTAACCAGAAGTCCATTGCAACCATCACTAGATTTAGATACTGCCTGTCTAAAACCATGATGATTTGACAGCCTTTACAGAATAGTGTTTTGAACAGAAAATTAAATGGGGGGGTCAGAATCAGCTCCAGATAGGCTTTTTCCCCCCTGAACACAGCTTCCTCCTTTTATTTTATTGTTTTATTAACAAAACACTTAGTAAATCACTTCGAACCATGTCCCAAACCTATATATTTTCTAAAACTACCGAATCAGGATTGAATTGACATTTCATCCAGCTTACGTCCCCGGTAGAAATTGGATGTCTTACTGGCAAAGCCATTGATCTACCATTTAGCATTATTACTTTCAACAGAATTGGGGTGGGAGAAAAGAGGCTCGCCTCAGAAAAATCAATGAAAATGCTTCATTGCGTCCACAGCCTTCTCTAAATTCATCATTTCCTTGTTATGTGCCAAATCACAGAAGGAATATGATGCTTATTCCAAATGCATACAAAATAATTATTCAAACCTCTATCTGGGTTTTTTCAGACATGCATTTGCCAAGGCTCTCATACCCAATGGAAGTCTCTCAAATGAATGGTCATCCAAACCACCTGGGCCTCGGCTCATTGCTGTTTCCTTTAACTAAATCGTGCCTGGCCACCTCAGCCCCTATTCTCTAAAGTTTTGGAGGGCTGAAACCCTGTCTTTTATATATTTCCATCTCCACAATGTAGCACCGTAATCAGACGTGTGTTCAGGATTCATTGAATGAATTTCTGCATGAATGAGTGAATGCATGGGATCTCCATCCATCACTGCATAATGGAATGTCTCTGGGAAATGCATTGCTAGGAAGAGTGATTGCTAAGGAAATGCCAACACCTCTCCCCACAGTTGGCCTCCCTGACCCCCTTGCCTCCCTCCCCATGCCCCGCCCTCTGTCAGTGCAAGCAGGATGGGCCCTCATAGGCAATGGAACTTCAGAACTGCAAACAGCCTCTGAGATTTTTAGAGAACATTATCAGTCTCAAAATTTCCAGAATGGTCTTTGGAGAAGACCTTTGTTCTTACCCCAATTAACAGAAAATGGATTTTTGAGAGTTCCCAAACAAGATAATCCACAGACTCTCCTGCCTTTTACCTTGCCTGGATCCTGGATGCTTAAGGAAAAGTCGTGACACAGCCATTGAGGAAACAAGTGACCCCAAAGCCTTGAAGAGGAAATGACTCTCAACTTCTTATAGAAGCTGACTAAGGATTCTCCGAACTTGAAATTTAAGAATATGAACCTTCCTGTCCAACTTTATCTCAGAGTTTTTTGCAAGCTCAGAGGTAAACGGGCTCAGCTTCTTTAGGTTGTTTCTGGTCAGAAGGACAACCCAGAGCCAGGGAGCAGCAGGAAACCAATAGAGGACTAATCCCTCAAATGCTCCAGGTATTGAATCTCCAGTCTATCGTTTGATCCTCATAACAAACCTGTGAATGTAGGGCAGAAATTACAACTCCACCTGAAAATGGTCAGAGAAAAGTGGACTGACTTGCCTGAGGCCACTGAGTAGCAGAGTACAAGCTAGAACCTAAGCCTTCTGATTCCCAGCGTATGTATTGCACTGTTTAGTTCCCATGTAAATGACTAGTCTTCCAACCTGGAGCATCAACTCTCCCAAGAAAGAGTGTGTGTAATTCTCTTGTCTTCCCCCTGCGGCCTGTTGCCTAGCATGGGGCTCAGCAAAATATAAGCACAATTGAGCTACCCCACTCTTAAAACTTCGCTCCCAATCACCTTTCCCTCTTTTCCAGGTGGGTAGATGCAGTAGCAAACCTCATTTGGGGCGTCACCTGGGAGGCAAGCTCAGACAACTTTGGACGGTTCTCCTAGGTGTGCACCTTTTATCAGTTGCTGCTTTTTTTGCAAGCCAGTCAATGATCAAGTCACTGGTTTGATCTAGTTCATCCTTTCCTTTGATGGATGTACATAGCTTGAAAGGAACAATGGCTCAATCAGCTCCATTTGGGATTACTTAGAAATGGAAGCATCCTTTGCTCAATTGGTTAATCAGTAAGCGTTGACAGCCTTCACTTTTACCCCTTCAATACTTCCGAAGGTCTGCAGACAGGACCCTTAGATGGGGGCAAAACCCCCATTGTCCTCTCAGAGGTTGGAACGGTGCTAGAAATCACCAAAACCTGTGAACTCTCCAAGAGCGGAAACCATGCCTCCATCATTGTAAACCTCATGGCTCCTGGCACAAAACAGGCACTCAGTAAATGCCGTATAAATGAACCACTCCAAGCACATTCGAAAAGCAAGAAGGACTTGCCGAATGTCACACGATGAGCAGCTGTATATAAATAAATTCTCAACTCTGGCTTACTTTATGGTCCTTTTTCTAGAGAGTGCTAACATTTTTTAAAGGGACTCCAAAGAATGATTTAACAGTGGGAATTGCAGCTGGCTTAGGAGAGATAATAGATTGGCAGTTATCTCCCCCAGGTAGGATTGGATTTAATTGGAGGTTTCCTCTGAAGGAGTCACTAGTGATCATTTAGTGGGGACCATGTGTTGCCCATCTGTACTCATTCCACCCTTCAGAGACACGGATCCCCAGAAGTTGGGTCAAACTCCTGCTCTCTGTCATTTTGGCAGCACTTTCGGTTTGGCAATTGTTTCAGCATGTTTTGAGTGATTTCTCAGTATTACTCTAAGGGTTGGATTGTTGGTGTGTCTCTATTTCCCCAACAAGAAAAGGAGCAGACAGGTTACTTACTCCCTGGGACTTAATTAGCACCATAACTCATTGTCCTGGCTCATGGAAGGTCCTAAGTTGTCCCAATAAGAGAAAAAAAAAAACAGAAAAAAATTGCCCATACCTAACACATTGACTTTAAGGATGCCTTGATTTTTTCCAACAAAATCAGGAGGGTTGTTAACATCGCAGATGTAGACACCACTATCTGCTGGTTGCATATGTGAAATGGTGATAGATGCATTATCTGGACTGCTGGACCCTACAATTCGATCTTTAAATTGCCCGATGGCTACAGCTTGTCCACCTTCGGAATAGTAAATCTAGGACAGAAAAATGACAGAAATGAGAACTGGAGCATGTCCAGGGCTAAGATAAGCTACCCAGAAGCACCCACATCCCCACCCACCCCCTCCTGCACAGAACAGATCCCACGGCGAAGGGGGTGTGTCTCAACTCAGTCGGGTGCTTTAGCTTTCTCACACCTGTGCACAACCACCTCCTCATTTGTCTGCACAGCAGTTTTGTGATGTCATCAGAGCAGGGATGCATGCCTATCTTACAGATGATAAACAGCTGGAGTTGACAGGGCTCAACTGGTAAGCTTAGGCTAGATCAAGATGCTCACCTGATGAGTCTACCTGGAGGAAACTCACTGTATAAAACACAAATGCCTGATGGGAAAGCCAAAATCATCATTTTTCCCCACTTTATATAAGCTTTTTAAATTTGACTTTACTCAATGGGACTACGGGACTTTCTGATTTCCCTAAGAGAATATTCATACTCCTTTCATACACATGTACTCCTCTGGATAAGCAAACTTGGGTTTATCCTGTTTGTTAGAAGAGTAACATTTCAGAGCAGAGAGGCCCCTGAGAAATCATCTGGTCCCATCCTCTCATAATGGCCTAGGAAATGCTTTTGTCAATGACAGCTACTACCTTTCTGCCCATGTGGCAGGAGGCAGAACTGGAATTATTATTTCATTTAGACAAATAAGGGCACTCAAATCCAGAAAGATTAAATGATTCATCCAAAGTCACAGGATTAATTTATTATTATTATTATTATTATTATTATTATTATTATTATTATTATTTGCCACACTCAAGGAAGATCTGGATTCTAGTCCCATCTCTATTAAAGATCATGAATAGTTAGATCAAAATGGCAACCATGGAGCAGTATGATGAGGTGGAAAGAGGTCTGGTCTTGGAGTCAGATGACCTGGGTTTTAGCCACAGCTCTGCCTCTGACTATGACATAGTCAGGGAGGGTGGCCTCTGGTCATGCCTCCATGGCAACCTGCTTTGTGATAAGAAACAATGTGATTAACTCTCTCCAACCTTTCGTTTTCACATTACATCTGAACGAGGAGCCAAAGCAATGTCCTCCAAATTATGAGATGTATTCCCCAAGTATAGGTACATAAGCTGATTTTAAGTGGCACATAAATGAAAACTTATTAGAAAGACACATATCTAGCACATTGTGTCTGTGACTTCATGGATATTATTGTTTACAGTGACACTAAGGTAGATATTTTTAAATTTGTAAGAAACCAAGTCAGTATAGAAAACATTAAATAATGCTGCTGGTGAGGTACAATTATGACAAACATCATAAAGATGAGACATAAAGGCCTGAAGCTTGGGAGTCACCAAAATAGGTGATCCCCAAGGTTCCTTCATCATGCACACACATCATACACACTTTGTTAGTTTCATATAAATGTGTGTAATTCAAATGATGGTTTATTATTCAATAAACTGATATTGCCCTAGTCTAGTGGAACTAATTAATGTTTTCATAGAATATACTAAAAGGGCCTTATTCATTGAATTCACTCTCCTCCCTTTCTAGAGGAAACTGAAGCCCAAAGAGGTTAACACACACACACACACACACACACACATACACACAAAGTTAACAATGGGGAAAGGTCTAGAACTCAGTTCTAATTCCTTGTCCAGTGTTCTTTATCTTTATAGGATAATGAGAGAGGAAAGCCAATTAGCAAACCAAAAGATATTGTCAAGATAAATTCAGATATATTCTCCATCAAATAGAAAGCCAATAAATCTTAAACTAAAGCAGAAAGGTAGATTTGGAGGGAAAATTCAAAGGCCATATTTAAGGTGAAAAAAAAACTTGTCTCCCTCCTCCACTTCTGTAACATCAACTAACTTTCTTTCCTGCCCCAAATGAGGCATTTATAATTCATTTTGTCCATTCATGCCTGCTGAAGTCACAAACTTTTGCCCCAAAGGGGTCTTGTGGACCAATATGCTGGAAAGCCAATGTTAAGGAAAGGTAAGCAAATGGTCCAGGAGGAGGCTCAGCTCATCAAAGGTCTCTTGCCTTCATCTGAGTTGAAACTCAAGCTACCCAGGTTTCCATTTCACTAGCCAGCATGGGGCCTATTTGCTTTCTTTTTTGGTAAGATTTTATTTATTTGAGAGAGATAAAGAGAAAGAGCAGGAGGAGGGGCAGATGGAGAGGGAGAAGCAAGCTCTCTGTGGAGCAGGGAACCCCTGTGGGGCTCCATCCTAGGGCCCCAGGATCATGACCTGAACTGAAGGCAGATGCCTAAATCACTGAGCCACCTAGGTGCCCCCAGGCCTATTTACTTTCTAATCAACAATCTAAGATCCTATGAACTCTTAACTAGAACATAGCCTACAGCCCATCAAGGAAGCCCTTTTACAACGTAAAGATCTGCCTGTTTCCCCTGCTCCCAGGAAGACTGGAGGTAAGTCAGTTTGTTTTATACTGCGGCTTGGTGACATCACAGTAAGATCCAACACATCAGTCCTGCTTATGGTGTACAGTAAGTGCCAGGAGGTCTGGGAGAAAAGACCTTGCTTCTGCCGAGAGCAGGGAGCCAAGAGAATATGTTTTAGGCCAGGACTAGAACACGCCAAGAAGCCACTGTAAAAAAAAGTCTCACAGTTGGTCATGAATCTAGAGGACATTAGCAGGTAAATTATGAGGCCCAGGACTTGTAACTTCCCTATCAAAAGGATTTTCACCAACCCTTCTACCTCACTCCTCATACCATAGTACCCCCATGCATTTCGCCCTCTCACAAATAACACTAAAAGGTGCCAGGGATAAGAATGGAGGTAAAGCAGGTTAACAATGGACACCTAAAAGGGAAATGCCTTGGCCTGAGAAAGAAAGTCCCCAAGGCTAGCCAGCAGCCAGACACAGAGATGGAGGGACTTTCTGTTACGGGAAGTCCATGCTGTCACACTGTCCTTGTAAAGAAGAAAAAGTGGGGGGGCAAGAGAGAGAGAGAGAGAGAGAAATGTTTTCCTGAAACTGCTTATCTAATCACAGAGGAAGTACTGAAACATGGTTCCATTTTCCACAGAAGAATAACTCTTTGAAAAATCAAAATTGAACAATGGCCAAGGCTCAGCCCATGATCCTGTGAGGCTTGTACCTTTTCAAAGGAAGTATATTGTCAATTTAGAGATCAAAGCGATTGAGGTCCGCGAAAAGCTGTGGATGTTTGACAGGCCACATCCTTTGGGGGAGACAGGGTGGCAAATCTGCTTAAAGAATATCCATCCATGTGTCCCCTTAAGGGATACTTGTTAACTGTTTGCTTGGTAGTCTCCCTACTTCCCCCTGACCCCCCACTAAGGTCCTCTCTGCTCCTCGAAGACGTCAGAGGCTGATATGTAGACTCATAATGACCCATTCATCATAAGACCCCCTTAGAAATCACTTGGTTTAGGGTTTCTAAGGCTGATGACACTTCAGGAGCCAGATGGGTATTAAAAATATGGGAAATAATGGCACCTGGGTGGCTCAGTGGTTGAGCATCTGCCTGGGGCTCAGGTCATGATCCCGGGGTCCTGGGATCGAGTCCTGCATTGGGCTTCCCACAGGGAGATGTCTCTGCCTCTCTCTGTTTGCCCCTCATGAATAAATAAATAAAATCTTAAAAGAAATATGGGAAATAGCTGAGAGGGGATGTTGGATGGTGGTAAGATCACAGAGGACAATGGGGCCTGTGGTGAACTGGAGGACCAGTACAAACGAGGCTTTCAAACTGTGGAAACAGACAACTAAAATACTGGGCTGGTCAACCAACATGAATCCACTGGCCAAATCGGGCATGGGGGGCCTCGAGTTTGCAACCTCTGATTCAAACTTCTATAACAGAACCCCAATAGAGGAAGTGATTTTCCCCCAGGTCACACAATTGATAACCAGACCTCCCGATTCTCCCCAAACACCCGAAAATGGCACTCATCATCTTGCCTCCAGCGAGGAAGATGATTCCTAGGTAATGCTTCCCTGTTGGGGCCATTCGATCCCTCCCTCTGGCCTGACCCTTCTCCTGCCAACTGCTGCTACTCATTGGCATGATGTGCCCATCATGTGTGTTTGCCACCTGAAGCCTTTGACATTTGCCAGCTGCAATAAAAGCCTTTCTCCCTCCCACTGTGCCAAGTTCCTATTCACATGAGGCCATGCAGCTGGGAGCCAGATTTGGTCAAAAAGATTTTTTTATTTGCCCTCAGCTTTGTGACACAGTTCTCTGACTTGAGGCTGGAACATAAACAAGAAGGGTTGAAAGAATTCAGTCTGCTTTCTGTTTGCATCTGAGTTGGAAATAGTAAACGCATTTAGCCTCCAGATCTGCTTTTGTGGGTTCCTTTTGGAAATGTGGAGGGTGTAGAAATCCACGACAGAGCACCCACCCATCCCTTCCCCTTTTCACTTTCGTGCACTACCCAGAAAGGGGTGAGCCATGGGAGAGAAGGAGTGTGGAGTGGCAATGGTCTCAAGCCCTGAATTTTTCCTGGACCATCCTCGGGGATGGGGGGTTGCTGAGATTGCCCATGGAAGGGAAAGCACACCAAAAGAAAGATAACCCTGCCTTTAAACTACTCCCTTCCCAGCCTGCCACTTGCCTGAGATCCCTGCCAGTTGAACTGCTTCTTTTGAACAAAGGCATGGAAAAAGTCTATGTTTAATTTTTTTTCCTTTGGAAGAGAGCAAAATCAACTATTACCAGTCCCTAGCACCTTAGCATTAGATTGATTTAACTGGTTTAGCAAGAATAGACACCTGAGGCCATGGGATATAGAATAGATGAACTTTAATAGGAGGGGTGGTGGGAAGGGAAGAACTTAGGAGTGTTTCTCAATACCAGTGACACTGCTATTTTGGGCAGGCCGTGCTTTCTCCTGTGGGCTCATCCTACATATTGAAAGATGTCTAGCATCTCTAGTCACCACCTACTAACTGCCAGTAGTGACTCTCATTTGTAACTATTACACCAACACCCCCCTAATTTTCAAATGCATGTGAGGAGATAATACACCCCCACCCTGCCAACATTTGGAAAGCATTTGATATAATGCTATCTGAAGAGGATGGGCTAGGTGTGGAAAATCTGAACAGTCAGAGAATATGAAGACACTAGGTTCTGGAAGAAAGTTGTCCACATTAAGAGTATGCTGGGGTGTTGAAAATAGCAAAGGGTTTCATCCACTATGGATGTCCTAGAAGAGTAAGTATTGTCTGCAAGACCCATGCTAAGTAGGATCAATGCCTATTCTGTTCATGGGGAGGTGAGGTCTCTTTAGTTCTACCAGTTATTGGTTGGGTGGAAAAGGAGAAAATTGGTGTCATCAGAGGGGCACCAAACCACCCAAAACTTCCATGCTAGTGTGCCTGTTCCAGAGCCTAGAGTCTTCAGCTGAGAGTCCCAGTTAAGGGACTGATCATCTGAAGCTGTCCTTGTCTTCCAAAAGGAGGGCTTCAGTAAGAGGAGGACCACACTAATAACTATATTGGCCCTCCTGGGCAGAAGACTTATGAGGTACTTATGCAGTCCCCATTCACCAAAGGAACCCCTTGGAGGAGATAGTCAATAAGCGATAACACCGCCCCGCCGCCCCGCCCCGGGGATTGAGAAACACTATGCCTTGGAGTCAACTGCTCCTTTTGGGGTAGGAGGAGAATATGAGCTTATAGCAAGAGTAGGCCTCTGCCCTGCTGAAGGCAGCAATAAGCCCTTGAGCCTTTTGAAGGAAGCTGAAAAGAATTCCAGACGTGGGCATCAGAAGGCAAACTCAAGACTGTCTCAGTTTTGCCGGGAGCCTGTACTGATCTGGACTGTTACCAAACATGGACCATCCCATCCCACTCCTAAAGGTTGGTGCCTTTGCCCTAGATATTCCAAACAGTGAAGGGTTCCAGTAGTACACCAATAGGTGTTCTTACCTGAGAGGTCCAGCTACATCTTCCCCGAGCGTCTCTTGCATGCGCCATATTTAGACACTGACTGACTGCCTTTTCCTCCATACCCTCAGTATTGAGGCACGGGCTGTGCTGTGTTTGAGCAGAAATGGGTGGATCTGAGAGCTGATTACTACATGATATACTGCCACATCAACCCAGGAGCTGAATTGAATCACTCAGTGATCAGTCTGGCAACATCTTACTCCCATAAATCACAGAATCATCTAACAGCACAGCAGTCTCTTTTCATCATCTCCAAAATATTCACCAGCCATCCCTAGATTAGTATACAACACGCTCTACAAAATCATGAATGCATGGAAGTACTCAAAGAAGAAACAAATTTGAAATAGAGGCCAAATCCCATTTTGAAAAATACCATTTCAACTGAAGATGTATCCAAACTTCTTTGTTGAGCAGGCTCTCTGTTCAAGGATAGGAGCAGGCAGAGAAGTCTGACCCCTCCCTTCAGCCACAGGAACCTGGCAGGCAGTGAAGCAGGAAACTAATCCTGGGCCAGGATTCCCCCCACCCAAGCTCTGTCCCAGCTGTTCAGCTATACTAAATGTCTTTTGTTGGGCTGGATTCCCTAGCACTCATGATGCAGGGGGTATGGATGCGATAGGGATTTTGCAAAATCCCCATTCTGTAAGTAATGATACTACTAATAATAGCTCACATTCATTGAGTGGTTACTATGTGGAAGGCTTTCCAGTGCTTTACAAGCATCATCTCATTTAATCTTCACAGTAAACCTCTGAGGTACGTAAGCAGCCCCATTACACAGATGAGAAAGGTCAACTGATTTTTTCTAAGGTCATCCAGTCAGCAAGTAAGTAGCTGAACAAAGAGTAGAATCAAAATCCATCAGGAGCTTCCCACTGGTTCTCCAAAACTACTCATCTGGAAAAGCAGAGAGAGGCACATGCCTGCAGTGTACAGGGGAAAAGGAGAGGGACTCCAGTTCTCTAGAGGTAGGTTGGACCTAAGGATGGTTGAAATAGGGATCTTGATGGGGTAAGCCGAAGCAAGATGGAAACAGAGAAAGAAGAGAAACTGTGACTTTTTGGAGGTAGCTTTCACTGTCTCTAAGCCAAGAGCTAGACCCCCTCTACCCTGTCTTCTATACAGCTGAGGCACAGGCATAACAAAAATCTCAAGCACTTGGAGAAGCATCTAAAATGTTCTAAGATCAAGAAGCATGTTCTCACTGAATCAGTGGCTCAGTGCAAAGGAGCACCTTGATCTGGACATCCCAAAAGCCTAGATACCTTAAATTACTTGCCCTGCCTGTACCTGACATTATGAAGAATGAGGCAAGTGGCAAGTAAATAAGCTACTCAATAAATACACATTTGTTAATAAAGCTTATTTCTGAAATGCCTCTAACAGACGTCCTGAGCTCAAGTCATATTCCATTCAATCACCTATACCTTCTGTGTATCTCCAGGTCTAGAAAAACCTCATTGCTGGTCATGAGATCCTTCTGCCCTGCATCCTTCAATTCATACCTACATGGTTCAACCAAGGGATGGGCTTGTAAATTCCAGTGTCAGAGGAGGCATAAAGAGCAGTTTGTGTTTTTGAACTCAGATTGGCCTGGCCTCACTTCCTGGCAGTTGAAGACATCTGGATTTGAGTACCATGCATAAAAAAATAGCTCAAAATATATTGGCAAGGCCTCTCTAATTTCAGCCACCAATGGCAAAATGGGAAGGACTTCAAGCCTACAGACCAAGAATGCACTGAGAAGACTATTAGGGAAACTGAATTTTAAAAAGGAAGAAAGTTCATGTGATTACTGCCATCCACAATCTAAGAGAGCAACCTGCAAAGGGATGATTTCTTGGTTGATTGCAATCTGCAATCTGGTCAGGGCATCTAGGTGACAAAAAGTGGTAAAATCACTGTCGCTGCTGCTGCTGCTGATGATGATGATGATTAAGATGATAATGGTATTGACAAGGGAGAAAACTTATAGGTCTTTATATTTTTCCCAAGTGTTTTCACATGCAGTGTGTCAGGTGATTCCCCATGAGATATGTAGAAGAGTGTCAGTGTTCCACCATGTGTTGAAGAGAAGCACAGAGTGATTCAGACATCTGTCTGAGGTAACCAATGCTGAGCAAAAATGTCAAACACTGACGAGAGGGTGGCCCTAATGAAATCACCCCTTGAACGGTGTTTCCTGCTACAAAAGTGTTCAGGATCTCTAGTAAAGAGAAGACCTAACACCTCCAAAGGACCAGACATGCCTGAAATGACACTGGCCAAGGTGTGGCTCCTCCAAGCTAGCACCTTCCTTCTTCTCTACCCTCTATCTGTCCTTAAACCTCCTCTAGCCCACTCAAACCGCTCTCCATTTTTCTACTAATCAAAACCCCAATTCAACAACATTACAACTATTCTAAACCATACTGACTTGTTTCTTCTCTGAACTTCTTTTGTTTTTTTATAATAAATTTATTTTTTATTGGTGTTCAATTTGCCAACATACAGAATAACACCCTTTGCTCATCCTGTCAAGTGCCCCCCTCAGTGCCCATCACCCATTCACCCCCACCCCGTGCCCTCCTCCCCTTCCACCACCCCTAGTTCGTATCCCAGAGTTAGGAGTCTTTATGTTCGGTCTCCCTTTCTGATATTTCCTACCCATTTCTTCTCCCTTCCCTTCTATTCCCTTTCACTATTATTTATATTCCCCAAACGTATGAGAACATATAATGTTTGTCCTTCTCCGACTGACTCATTTCACTCAGCATAATACCCTTCAGTTCCATCCATGTTGAAGCAAATGGTAGGTTTTTGTCATTTTTAATGGCTGAATAATATTCCATTGTATACATAGACCACATATTCTTTATCCATTCATCTTTCGATGGACACCGAGGCTCCTTCCACAGGTTGGCTATTGTGGACATTGCTGCTAGAAACATCGGGGTGCAGGTGTCCTGGCGTTTCATTGCATCTGAATCTTTGGGGTAAATCCCTAACAGTGCAATTGCTGGGTCGTAGGGCAGGTCTATTTTTAACTCCTTGAGGAACCTCCACACGGTTTTCCAAGTGGCTGCACCAGTTCACATTCCCACCAACAGTGTAAGAGGGTTCCCTTTTCTCTGCATCCTCTCCAAAATTTGTAGTTTCCTGTCTTGTTAATTTTCCCCATTCTCCCTGGTGTGAGGTGATATCTCATTGTGGTTTTGATTTGTATTTCTCTGATGGCAAGTGATGCAGAGCATTTTCTCATGTGCGTGTTGGCCATGTCTATGTCTTCCTCTGTGAGATTTCTCTTCATGTCTTTTGCCCATTTCATGATTGGATTGTTTGTTTCTTTGCTGTTGAGTTTAATAAGTTCTTTATAGATTTTGGAAACTAGCCCTTTATCTGATACATCATTTGCAAATATCTTCTCCCATTCTGTAGGTTGTCTTTTAGTTCTGTTGACTGTATCCTTTGCTGTGCAAAAGCTTCTTATCTTGATGAAGTCCCAATAGTTCATTCTTGCTTTTGTTTCTTTTGCTTTCGTGGATGTGTCTTACAAGAAGTTACTGTGGCCAAGTTCAAAAAGGGTGTTGCCTGTGTTCTCCTCTAGGATTTTGATGGAATCTTGTCTCACATTTAGATCTTTCATCCATTTTGAGTTTATCTTTGTGTACGGTGATAGAGAGTGGTCTAGTTTCATTCTTCTGCATGTGGATGTCCAATTTTCCCAGCACCATTTATTGAAGAGACTGTCTTTCTTCCAGTGGATAGTCTTTCCTCCTTTATCGAATATTAGTTGACCATAAAGTTGAGGGTCCACTTCTGGATTCTATATTCTGTTCCATTGATCTATGTGTCTGTTTTTGTGCCAGTACCACACTGTCTTGATGACCACAGCTTTGTAGTACAACCTGAAATCTGGCATTGTGATGCCCCCAGCTATGGTTTTCTTTTTTAAAATTCCCCTGGCTATTCGGGGTCTTTTCTGATTCCATACAAATCTTAAAATAATTTGTTCTAACTCTCTAAAGAAAGTCCATGGTATTTTGATAGGGATTGCATTAAACGTGTAAATTGCCCTGGGTAACATTGACATTTTCACAATATTAATTCTGCCAATCCATGAGCATGGAATATTTTTCCATCTCTTTGTGTCTTCCTCAATTTCTTTCAGAAGTGCTCTATAGTTTTTAGGGTAGAGATCCTTTACCTCTTTGGTTAGGTTTATTCCTAGGTATCTTATGCTTTTGGGTGCAATTGTAAATGGGATTGACTCCTTAATTTCTCTTTCTTCAGTATTACTGTTAGTGTATAAAAATGCCACTGACTTCTGGGCATTGATTTTGTATCCTGCCACGCTGCCAAATTGCTGTGTGAGTTCTAGCAATCTTGGGGTGGAGGCTTTTGGGTTTTCTATGTAGAGTATCATGTTATCGGCAAAGAGGGAGAGTTTGACTTCTTCTTTGCCAATTCGAGTGCCTTTAATGTCTTTTTGTTGTCTGATTGCTGAGGTTAGGACTTCCAGTACTATGTTGAATAGCACTGGTGAGAGTGGATATCCCTGTCTTGCTCCTGATCTTAGGGGAAAGGCTCCCAGTGCTTCCCCATTGAGAATGATATTTGCTGTGGGCTTTCCTAGATGGCTTTTAAGATGTTGAGGAATGTTCCCTCTATCCCTACACTCTGAAGAGTTTAGATCAGGAATGGATGCTGTATTTTGTCAAATGCTTTCCCTGCATCTAATGAGAGGATCATATGGTTCTTGGTTTTTCTCTTGCTGATGTGATGAATCACATTGATTGTTTTATGAGTGTTGAACCAGCCTTGTGACCAGGGGATAAATCCTACTTGGTCATGGTGAATAATTTTCTTAATGTATTGTTGGATCCTATTGGCTAGTATCTTGTTGAGAATTTTTGCATCCATGTTCATCAGGGATATTGGTCTGTAATTCTCCTTTTTGGTGGGGTCTTTGTCTGCTTTTGGAATTAAGGTGATGCTGGCCTCATAGAACGAATTTGGAAGTACTCCATCTCTTTCTATCTTTCCAAACAGCTTTAGTAGAATAGGTATGATTTCTTCTTTAAACATTTGATAGAATTCCCCTGGGAAACCATCTGGCCCCGGACTTTGTGTCTTGGGAGGTTTTTGATGACTGCCTCAATTTCCTCCCTGGTTATTGGCCTGTTTAGGTTTTCTATTTCTTCCTGTTCCAGTTTTGGTAGTTTGTGGCTTTCCAGAAATGCGTCCATTTTTTCTAGACTGCCTAATTTATTGGAGTATAGATGTTCATAATATGTTTTTAAAATCGTTTTTATTTCCTTGGTGTTGGTAGTGATCTCTCCTTTCTCATTCATGATTTTATTAATTTGAGTCTTCTCTCTCTTCTTTTTAATAAGGCTGGCTAATGGTTTATCTATCTTATTAATTCTTTCAAAGAACCAACTCCTGGTTCTGTTGATCTGTTCCATAGTTCTTCTGGTCTCAATTTCATTGAGTTCTGCTCAAATCTTTATTATCTCTCTTCTTCTGCTGCGTGTAGGATCTATTTGCTGTTTTTTCTCTAGCTCCTTTAGGTGTAAGGTTAGTTTTTGTATTTGAGTTCTTTCCAGTTTTTGAATGGATGATTGTATTGCGATGTATTTCCCCCTCAGGACTGCTTTTGCTGCCTCCCAAAGATTTTGAATGGTTGTGTCTTCATTCTCATTAGTTTCCATGAATTTTTAAAATTCTTCCTTAATTTCCTGGTTGACCCTTTTATCTTTTAGCAGGATGGTCCTTAACCTCCACGTGTTTGAAGTCCTTCCAAACTTCTTGTTGTGATTTTGTTCTAATTTCAAGGCATTATGGTCTGAGAATATGCAGGGGATGATCCCAATCTTTTGGTATTGGTGCAGACCTGCTTTGTGACCCAGTATGTGGTCTATTCTGGAGAAAGTTCCATGTGCACTTGAGAAGAATGTGTATTCAGTTGAGTTTGGATGTAAAGTTCTGTAGATATCTGTGAAATCCATCTGGTCCAGTGTATCATTTAATGCTCTTGTTTCTTTGGAGATGTTGTGCTTAGAATACCTATCAAGTATAGAAAGCGCTAGATTGAAGTCACCAAGTATAAGTGTATTATTATCTAAGTATGTCTTAACTTTGGTTATTAATTGATTGATATATTTGGCAGCTCCCACATTTGGGGCATATATTGAGGATTGTTAAGTCCTCTTGTTGGATAGATCCTTTAAGTATGATATAGTGTCCCTCTTCATCTCTCACTACAGTCTTCAGGGTAAATTTTAGTTTATCTGATATAAGGATGGCTACCCCTGATTTCTTTTGAGGACCATTTGAATGGTAAATGGTTCTCCAACCTTTTATTTTCAGGCTGTAGGTGTCCTTCTCTCTAAAATAAGTCTCTTGTAGACAGCAAATAGATGGGTCCTGCTTGTTTATCCAGTCTGAAACCCTGCAATTTTTGATGGGGTCCTTAAGCCCATTCACGTTCAGAGTCACTATTGAAAGATATGAGTTTAGTGTCATCATGATATCTATACAGTCCTTGTTTTTGTGGATTGTTCCACTGGACTTCTTCTTAAAGGGGAATTTTATGAGTCCCCCTTAAAATTTCTTGCAGAGCTGGTTTGGAGGTCACATATTCTTTCAGTTCCTGCCTGTCTTGGAAGCTCTTTATCTCTCCTTCCATTTTGAATGAGAGCCTTGCTGGATAAAGTATTCTTGGTTGCATGTTCTTCTCATTTAGGACCCTGAATATATCCTGCCAGCCCCTTCTGGTCTGCCAGGTCTCTGTGGAGAGGTCTGAGGTTACCCTAATACTCCTCCCCATAAAAGTCAGGGATTTCTTGTCTCTTGCTGCTTTAAGGATCTTCTCTTTATCTTTGGAATTTGCAAGCGTAACTATTAAATGTTGAGGTGTTGAACGGTTTTTCTTGATTTTAGAGGGGGGGATCTCTCTATTTCCTGGATCTGAATGCCTGTTTCCCTTCCCAGATTGGGAAAGTTTTCAGCTAGGATTTGTTCAAATACATATTCTGGCCCTCTGGCCCTTTCGGCGCCCTTGGGAACCCCAATTAAACGTAGGTTTTTCTTCCTCAGGCTGTCATTTATTTCCCTTAATCTATATTCATGGTCTTTTAATTGTTTGTCTCTTTTTTCCTCAGTTTCCCTCTTTGCCATCAACTTGTCTTCTATGTCACTCACTCATTCTTCCACCTCGTTAACTCTCATAGTTAGGACTTCTAGTTTGGATTGCATCTCATTCAATTGATTTTTATTTTCTGCCTGATTAGAACTAAATTCTGCAGTCATGAAGTCTCTTGAGTCCTTTATGCTTTTTTCTAGAGCCACTTGTAGCTTTATAGTAGTGTTTCTGAATTGGCTTTCTGACATTGAATTGTAATCCAGATTTTGTAACTCTGTGGGAGAGAGGACTGTTTCTGATTCTTTCTTTTGAGGTGAGGTTTTCCTTCTAGTCATTTTGCTCAGTGCAGAGTGGCCAAAAACAAGTTGTATTGGGAAAAGGAGAAAAAGAGAGGAGAGAAAGAAGGAAATAAAAGATAAAAAGAAAAAAGAAAAAAGGAAGGAAAAAAAGAAAAAAGAGAGAAGAAAAAGAGAAAGAAAAGGAAAGAAAGGGGGGAAAAGGGTGGGGGAAGCAAACAGAAATCAAAAAGAAAAAAAAAAACACGGGGGAGTATCTTCTGATTCTGTATACTTTAAGTCCCTTGATTTCCCCTGGAACTTGTCCGTCTAGCTGGTCTTTGGGGGAGGAGCCTCTTGTGCTGATTTTCAGGTGTTAGCACTTGGGGGAGCTGCTCTGCCCCCTGCCTGCTGCAGGGCTCAGTGGGGGTTGTTTACCCCGTGAGGCCCCAGGAGGAACACCAGTGGCGGCGGCCAGCTCTGGAGCCCTGGATTCAGCTCCTGCAGTAACTACGGAGCTCTCAGCCTGCAGGGGCCTGAATGCTCAGCTCGGGGCAGGAGCGTCCTTGCTGTCCTGGGCCCTCCTGGCCTCTGCCTGTCCCGGGGGGAGGTCGTATCCTGGGCTGTGTCCCCCGCGCCCTGTGCTCCCGGGCCTGCACTGTTGGATTCGCGCTCCCAGCCGGGCAGCCCCCTCTCTGTGGAGCCTCCGCCCGAGCCCCTTCGAGCTGCTCCCGGGTCCAGCCGTGCTTGCGCTGCAGCCCTTTAGGGAGCACGGCATCCCTGGGTGGCGCAGAGGTTTGGCGCCTGCCTTTGGCCCAGGGCGTGATCCTGGAGACCGGGATCGAGTCCCACATCGGGCTCCCGGTGCATGGAGCCTGCCTCTCCCTCTGCCTATGTCTCTGCCTCTCTCTTTGTCTGTGACTATCATAAATAAATAAAAATAAAAAAAATATTAGGGAGCTCGGCGCACTCTCCCCGGAGCGCAGGTGTCTGTTAGTGTCCCTGGGAGCCTGAGGGCATCCCTGCCCCTCCTAGGGTCCTGCTCTAACTCCCTGCGGGTGCCTTTCTGCCCAGGAAGATTAGTGAAGCTCCTGCTTCTCCTGGACGGAGCTTTCCTTTCCTGGGGGCACTCGCCCTGGCCTTAGCCCGGCTCCTCGCGGGGCCCCTCCCCCTTGGAGGCCTTTTATTTCTTTATTTCTTTTTTCCCTGTCTTCCTACCTTGATATAAGCGTGAACTCTTCTCACTGTAGCATTCCAGCTGTTCTCTCTTTAAATCTCAGGCGGAATTAGTAGATTTTCAGGATGATTTGAAGGTTATCTAAGTAATTTGGTTGGGACAGGTGATTTGGGGGACCCTACTCTTCCACCATCTTGCCGAATTCCCCTGAACTTCTTGTTTTGGATCAATACATCCTTTTGAAAAATTGATGAAAGCTATAGACCTTTCTTTTCCCTCAAGGGGGGGGGTATATATTGGCAGTCGTGTTGCACACTCATGCAGACTCTTGCACCCCAAGTGTGTTCTCTCTCTCTCATACACACACACTTTTGAGTATACAATAAATTAGATCTTGGGCTAATTTAAAAAGGGATCATCTTTAAGGCCAAATGAAGAAAACCTGAGAATAGATGGCTTACAGGTAGAATCATTCTCCTTTGGCTTTTACCAACCCTCTTCTAGCAATCTTTTACCCCTCACCCCAGCCTACTTGTCCCATCCTCAACCCTCTAGCTTCTTGTTGTCCTTCATTACCCAGGTTTCATCACCACCTTGCCCCTTCTCCACCCGTCTGGGAGTCTCATTCCATCAGGACTCAGTCAGGCACAATGAGCTAGCTCACTTGCCAATCACTTGGCAGATCCCAGATACTACATTTGACAGGGATCTGCAGATCAAATGTATTTGAACTGGAGTCTTCTGGAAATAATAGGGGGGTTTGGAGGAAGGGAGGGAGAGCCCTTTCAGAACTCCTGTCCATTTCACCTAGGAGAAGGACTATGGCTATCTACTCTAGAAAACATGATATACTTGATGTTGACCTACTCACATTTGAGATAATAGGCTATCACTGAATATGAAGAGAAGACAAAGGCCATGTTACATACATGATGGTCTTCTCTAAACAACTATCTTCAAACTCTTTGTACCTGAGGTTCTGCTGTTGTCACTGGCTTACCATTCCTGCACACACTGTCCCCAACAGTTTATGTCAGAGCTACCATAGGGGAATAGTTGAAGAAAAAAGTCCTTACGGAAGTTGGTGGTAAGTCCTTCTTGTGAAAGAATGACCACTGGATGGAGAGCTTGTCTCGGGAGGCCACAGTGCTGGTGTAGGTGCAGACAAGTGTGACATCAGATCCAATAGTCACGTTCACAATGCTGTTTGGGATGGTCACCTGCACCATACTAACTTGACCTGAAAAAGTAATCATCAGAACAAAAATGGTACACTCTCACATTCTGACAACAATCTTTCATTACAAAGCATTTTCAAGGACATCTTATTTGAGGAATCCAAGGTGAGGAGGAGGAGGAAGAATGCTGAGCAAGAAATTGGTGTGGGGGTAGGGAGTTTCTCACAAATGACAATGTAATGAAACACAAATCCTATGTGATGGTTAGATAATAACACTGAACTGGGAATTATTCTGTATAAGCATGGCCTTAAACAGAGGTTCTTGGGCAGCCCGGGTAGCTCAGTGGTTTAGTGCCGCCTTCAGGCCAGGGCATGATCCTGGAGACACGGGATCAAGTCTCCTGTCCGGCTCCCTTCATGGAGCCTGCTTCTCCCTCTGCCTGTGTCTCTGCCTCTCTCTCTCTCTCTCCTCTCTGTGTTTCTCATGAGTAAATAAATAAAAGCTTTTTAAAACCCCCCAAAAAACGGAGGTTCTTAAAATGTTGTCCGGGGACCCAAACAGGTCCATGAGCATGGAAAATAATCCAGTTTGTCCAGGACTCACAGATTTCTCGTATATGGAACTTTCAGTTTTATTTTTTTTCCTTCCAAGTTTTTGTTTAAATTCCAGTTAGTTAACATGTAGTGTAACATTGGTTTCAGGAGTAGAATTTAGTGATTCATCACTTACATACAACACCTAGTTCTTATTACAACAAGAGCCCTCCTTAATGCCCATCACCCATCCAGCCCATGCCTCCACCAACCTCCCCTCCAGCAACCCTCAGTTTGTTTCCTAGAATTAAGAGTCTCTTATGGTTTGCCTCCCTCTCTGTTTTTATCTTATGACAGCATTGCTTTGGCAGCTATGTAATGTGTGCTTATGTATTTTTGTTTAAATAATTTTTAGTTTTAATATCTAATTCAGTAAATATAGATAGAAATAACTGACATAGCAAAGATTCTTTGGGGTTCCTCAGTAATTTTTAATTAAAATTTTACTGAGATAATAGTAGATTTGCATACAGTTCTTAGAAGTAATCACAGATATCCCATGTACACTTTACCCAGTCCCTCATAACGGTAACATTTCATAAAACTGTACTATAATATATCACAATTAGGACATTCATATTGATACAATCCACCCATCTTATTTTTATTTCTCCAGTTCTACTTGTACTCAAGTGTGCATATGCATTTAGTTTTATACACTTTTTATCACATGTAAGTGTGTGTATCTGCCATTGCAATAAAAATACTGGACGGTTTCATCACCACAAAGATCCCTAATGTTGCCCTTTTATAATCACTTACCTTCTTTCTGCAACCCCATCCCTGATTCTAAGCATGGGTAGCCACTAATCTGTCCTTCATTGCTAAAATTTTGTCTTTTGTAACCTTTTGGGATGGACTTTTTTTCACTCATAATTACCTAGCAGCATACCCAAATTGTTGTATCTGTAACTCATTGCCATTTGTTGCTTAGTAGCATTCAATCTGCGTAACAATTGACCCATTTAGGAACATTTGGGTCATTTCCAGGACTTGGCAATTGAATAAAACTCCGAGGTACAGATTTTTCAGTGAATATAAATTTCTATTTCACTGGGATAAATTTCCAAGAGTGCAACTGTTGGGTCAGATGGTAGTTCCATGTTTAGTTTTATTAAAGAACAAAACCAGGGGCGCCTGGGTGGCTCAGTCAGTTGAGCGTCTGACTCTTGATATCAGCTCAGGTCTTGATCTCAGGCTGGTAGGTTCAAGCCCTGCGTTGGACTCCATGCTGGGCACAGAGCCTATCTAAAAAAAGACAAATAAGCCAAAAACCAGCCACATTGTTTTCCAGAGTGGTTATATCAATATACATTCCCACCCATAAGATATGAGTGGTCTAGTCTCTCCACATCCTCCTCAGTCTTTGGTATTGTCACTAATTCTCTACTTTAGCCATAATAAGTATATAGTAATATATCATTGTGATTTTAATTTGTCTTTCTCTGGTGCAATTTTATGACGCTAAACAACTTTTTATGTGAAAATTTGTCACTTGTATGTGTTCCTTGGTGAAAGGTCTGTTCATATCTTTAGACCATTTTCTAACTGGATTATTTAATTTTCAACTGTTAAATTTTGAGAGTTTTCTATGTAATCTAGATTCCAGTCTCTTCTTGGACAGAGACAGTTTTATTTCTTCCTTTCCAATTTATATGTTTTTTGTTTCTTTTATTACCTTATTGCAATGGCTATAACTTCCAGAACTTTACATGTACAATATGTACGTGACATAATACAGGATATGTTAACTGTAGGTTATTTGTAGATGCTTCTTATCACGTTGAGGTAATTCTCCTTTGTCATGGGTTGAATTGTGTCCCACCAAAAGGTATATAAAAGTTCTAATTCCTGGTATCTGTGAATGTGACCTTATTTGGAAATACGTTCTTTGCAATGTAATTAAGCTAAGGATCTTGAGATGAGATGATTCTGGATTTAGAGTGGGCTTTCAATCCAATGACTGTTGTCCCCATAAGAGAAAGGAGAGGGAAATTTGACAAAGATACACAAGGAGGAAGGCCATATGAAGGTAAAATCAAACACTGGAGCAATGTACATACAAGCAAAGGAACACCAAACATTTCTAGCAGACAAGTAGCAGAAAGCCATGGCACAGATTCTACTTCAGAGCTTCTAAAGAAAATCAATATTGCCAAAGCTTTACCTTCAGGCTTTGGGCCTCCAGAACTGTGAGAGAATAAACTTCTCTTGTTTTAAGCCACGTGGTTTCTGGCAATTTCTGACAGCAGCTCTTGGAAAGGAACACATCTATTGCTTAATTTGCTGAGAGTCTTTATCATGAATGAGTACTGGATTTTGTCAGATGCCCTTTCTCCATCAATTGATATAATCATTTGCTTTTTTTTCCTTAAGCTTGTTGATATGATAGATTACACTGAATGACTTTGAATGTTGAACCAGCCTTGCATACCTGAAATAAATCCCATTTAGTCATTGTGTAGAATTCCTTTAAAACATAGTAGAATTCAATTTCCTAGTGTTTTGTTGAGAGTTTTTGAATCTAGGTTCATGAAAGAATTTGGTCTATAGTTGTCTATTTCTGTACTGTCTTTGGTTTTAGTATCAAGGTAATACTAGCCTCATAAAATGAGTTGAAATCCTTCACTCCTCTTCTGTGTTTTGGAAGAGACTGTGTAAAATTATTGTTAATTATTTTTTTCTAATGTTTGGTAGAATTATCCAGTGCAAGCATCTAGGCCTGGGTATTTCTTTTTCAGGAGCTTTTTAAATTGTGAATTCAATTTCTTTAAGGGTTATGGTATCTTCAGATTATCTATTTTATATCAGGTGAGCTTTAGTAGTTTGTTGTTTTGGGGGAATTGGTCCATTTCTTCTAAGTTGTCAAATAGATGAATGTAAAGTGTGTACAACATTTCTTTATTATATTTTTAATGACTGCAGGATCTGTGCTGATACCACATATTTCATTTCTGATATTGGTGATCTGTGTCTTATCTCTTTTTATTTTTACCAATCTTGCTAGAGATTTGTCAAAATTATATATCCGTTTTTTCAAGGAACCAGATTTTTATTTCATGTAATGATTTTCCTATTTCAATTTCATTGATTTAAGTTCTTATTATTTCCTTTCTTCTCTTTGTTTTGGGTTTATTTTACTCTTCTTCCAGTTCCTTGATGTAGAAACTTCAATTATTGACTTGATACTTTTCTTAATTGCAAATGGAAGCATTTAGTGTTATAATTTTCTGTTTTAGCACTGTTTTAGTTGCATGTTACATATTTCCATATGTTATATTTTCATTTTAATTCAGTTCTATGTATATTCTTTAAATATCCTTTGAGATTTCCTTTTTGGTCCAAAGATTATTTAGAAATGTGTTGTATAATTCCCAAGTGTTTAGAGATTTTCTTGTTGCCTTTATGTTCTTGATTTCTAAAAGTTTGATTCCATTGTGCTCAGAGAACAGATTCTGCATGATTTTAATTCTTTTACATTTGTGGAGGGTTTTTTTTATGGCCAAGCATATACTCTATCTTGGTATATTCTGCAGGTGCTTGGGGAAATAAATGCATTCTGCTATTGCTGGGTGGAATACTTTATACAAAAGATGTATTTTAAAACATTATGGGAATGCCTGCATGGTACAGCCAGTTAAGCATCTGATTCTTAAAAAAAAAAAAAGCATCTGATTCTTGGTTTTGTCTCAGGTCATGATCTCAGGGTCATGGGATTGAGCCCCATGTCAGGGCCCTTGCTCAGCGTGGAGTCTGCTGAAAGGTTCTGTCTATCTCTTTCTCCCTCTGCCCCACCTCCCATCTCTTAAATTATCAAATAAATCTTTAAAAACACTATGAATACTCACCAAGATAGACCACATTATGGCCTTAAACAAATCTTAACACATTTAAAAGAAGAGAAATCACACAATGTCTGCTCCCAGACCACAATGGAATTAAAACAGAAATAAATTAACAATAAGTCTACTGGGAAGTCCCAAAATACATGGAGACTAAACAACACACTTCTAAATAACACATGAATCAAAGAAATCTCAAGAGGAAATTTAAAATACTTTTAACTAATGAAAATGAAAATACAACTTGTAAAAATTTGTCATATGCAACAAAAGCAGCACTTAGAGGGAAATTTCAGCACGAGTGCATATATTACAAAACAAGAAAGATCTAAAATCAATCATGTAAGTTCTCACCTTAGGAAACTAGGAAAAAAGAATAAATCCAAAGCAGAAGAAAAGAAATAATGAAAATTAGAGCAAAAATCATTGAAATTGAAAACAAGAAATCAATACAGAAAACCAATGAAACCAAAACTGGTTATTGAAAAACATAGGTAAAATTGATAAGACTCTAAGTTAGCTAACTAAGAAAAAAATAAAGTGAACACAAATTGCTAGTATCAGAAATGAAAGAGGGCCATAACTTTAGATATCATGGATATTAAAAGGATAATAAAAGAATACTAGGCATAATACTCTCCAGTTCCATCCACATTGAAGCAAATGATGGGTATTCGTCCTTTCTGATGGCTGAGTAACATTCCATTGTATATATAAACCACATCTTCTCTATCCATTCATTTGTCGATGGACATCAAGGCTCCTTCCACAGTTTGGCTATGTAGGGGAGGTGGGCAGGGGGATGGGGTGACTGGGTGACGGGCACTGAGGAAGGCACCTGACAGGATGAGCACTGGGTGTCATACTATATGTTGGCAAATCAAACTTCAATAAAAAATATATTTAAAAGAAAAAGAATACTAGGAACAACTCTCGGCCTACAAATTTGTTAACCTCAATAAAATGGACCAATTCCTTGAAAAACACAACCTGTTAAAACTCACACAAGAAGTAGACAATTTTGACAGGCTTATATATACTCTATATGTACTAAAGAAATTGAATCAATAATTAATAACCTTAAAAAAAGAGGTTCCAAGCCTGGGGCCACTGGTGAATTCTACCATATATTCAAGGAAGAAATTTAACCAAGTATCTACAATCTCTTTCAGAAGATAGAATAAAGGGAGTATTTCCTAATTCATCCTATGATGTCAATATCACCCTAATACTAAAACCAAAGACATTACAGGAAAAGAAAACTATAGACCAATATCTCTAATGAACACACAGAAACCCTTGATAAAATATTAGTAAATCAAATCCAACAATGCATAAAAAGAATTCCATACCATGGCCAAGTAGGATTTATCTTAGGCAAGGCTGACTCAAAATTTGAAAATGAATTAATGCAATCTATCACATGAACATGTTTTTAAAAATCACATGATCATATCAGTATATTCAGAAAAAGAATTTTCCAAAGCCCAACGTCCATTTGTTATAAAAACCTTCAACTAGGAATACAGAGGACTTACAACTCGATCAAGAACACTTACAAAAAACCTGCAGCTAACACCATCCTTAATGGTGAGAAACTAGAAGTGTTCTTACTAAGATCAGGAGTCAGGGGATCCCTGGGTGGTGCAGCGGTTTGGTGCCTGCCTTTGGCCCAGGGCGCGATCCTGGAGACCCGGGATCAAATCCCATGTCGGGCTCCTGGTGCATGGAGCCTGCTTCTCCCTCTGCCTGTGTCTCTGCCTCTCTCTCTCTCTGTGTGTGCCTATCATAAATAAATAAAAAAAAATTTAAAAAAAGGAGTCAGACAAGGATATTCCCTCTCATCACTCCTTTTCAATCTCATTCTGAAGTTCTAGCTAATGCAATAAGATACAAAAAGTATAAAGATTGTGAAGGAAATGACAGATTACATGATTGC